CTTCGTAATATCACTAGGCTTAGCCATCGGTGTCGACCACTCAGGTTGATAGTCAAAGGCTCAGCTTTCTTCTACGTGTTAGTGTCTAGTAAGGGGCTGGGACTAGACGAACTACTATGTGGGCCCACGCTCAACCGCTTGGTGACTATCTGCTGGGAAGCAAAGATGAGAACGACCCATGACACAGCCCGTCGTGTTCCTATCTGCAGCTCTGTTTGCCAAGATGTGATACGCACCCCTTCACCGGTTTCTGCCCACTTCCCCCACCAGTCGACTATCCCCTTTGTGCGTGAGAAGCGATCTATCATACGGGCACATGCTTCATTACATACTTTTTCTGTTCAGTTGCCAAACCTCATGCGCCACACAACACACGAAAATATGATTACTCAACAGAAACCATTCTTAAATCATTCCAGACCCTTCGCGGCAGCGGTCTATCTATAGTCGTTTCCAACCTTCTTTGTGCACCGTCAACATTTCCCTCAGCAAAGGCGCTCTTACATCTTGGCGCTTGCCCTGACCTCCCCATTTTACTCATACAGGAGCATAAAGGGATAAGCAAAGGTCAAAGCAACTAGATTTCATTACATGCGACACTAGTCTTCATTGGTTTAGGCATCGCTTTTCCTTTCCCGCCGTTCATGCATGATGGCCATCCACCTCGGACAATTAAACTTATCCTGCTCAGTGCGGCGAAAACTTGCAGTCTGGGCTGTCAACCATCCCCAACCTTTTTCATCCCTTCCTGTGCTCTCTTTTACAGTGAGCTCCTACACATCATTGCGGAACCTCCATGAGGATTTCGATAACCTTGATGCCCCAGACGCGGTGGACATCTGTGTCATCGCCTTTCCAATATCGCTACCGAAGCTTGCGGACGTGGCATCGGACGTCACCTAGTTACAGATGATCAGTTTGGTCAAAACCCGTCCCAATCATAACGAGAATAGCCACTAACATGCTTTTCCACGCATGACTTCATCCACATTAATGCCACTCACATCCCTTGGACTCGCCATGACCGAACCATGTTTTCCTCACACACCGCGCGAGAAAAAGTTTCACAAAGGCAGCTGTGGAACCCTTTGTATGAACGAGAGGATTAATCGCCCGGGGATAGCCAAGTATGCGAGTTCTACGTATAGGGATGTGTTGGTCGGGGAACTGACAAGCGCTCTGGTCTATCTCCTTGAACGCTTAAACGATCAATGCCGAATTTCTCTAGCATGCCAGAAGACCTACGCGTCCGTCTGGAAGTCACACGTTTTAATGGAGGTTTGACGGTTGGGACGGGATGACCTGAGAGGCAAGGATATCGACTCGGCCCTGGGCGAGGGAGAAGGTGCAGGTTCCTATAGCGGGCGGGACGACAATGTCGTGTGGCCCAACGGACTCTTATTACTGATTGAGTGTGGTTCCCGAAATTGTTCTCAGAGACTACATTCTTGTGAAGGTGGAAAGGGATAAGTCTTTTGTCTCTCGTACGGGGGGTAGAGCAGTTAAGTATCCCTGAAAGATTTAACCTTTCATGATGCAGGTAGGTCTTTAAGATATGTTGGTAATGTGTTCTTTATTGTAGTTGAATCTCAGTCCTTGATGGGCTAACTGAGCCAGAAGATCGACTCGTCTGCAGATGCCTCACCAACCCGCACCGACTCTGTGATGCCGGTCGCCTTGGCCGTGTGTACCACTACATCAGTGGCTTCTGGTAGCCCCAGGTCTCAAAATATTCCTTTTTCCGGCATCCACAGTTATCCGTTCAAACCAACTTGGCCTCCCCAGGGTGTTGACCAGAAGAGGGATGCCACTACTTCTACATGGCCGAGCAATTCCTTCTGTGAACCAGCGGACGCTCAGCTTATTCTCCTACCCTTTACAACCTAGCAACCCGGCAACTATTCTGTCGCAGCAACTTCTATCCAAGGATTTTGAACTCCTAGTTCCCGAGCCTCTGCATGTTCAGCTACACAACGTTCTTGCTCGGCCAACTCGGGCAACGTAGTATGATCAGCTCCAGGCCCTGCCTCAAACTGATGGACCTCGTAGTGTTCCATTTCCACCGACTCAATCCCAGGCGATTACACTTCAGAACGGTCACTCTCTTCATACTCACTCTCAACAGATCCAACCTAACCCGGGTCGGCCGGCCCTTTCCCGCTGAGGCTCAGGTTGCCCAGGCTCGACAAGATATTACTAACGGGGAATATTATATAAAAAACCCGAGGTCGGCTAATAAAGTCGTGCCGAGTTCATATTATCCTAGCTCAGACCTGCACTTCCATTTGTCATCGTCAGCACTAATGGCATGGAACTTCGAGCAATTTGTCAGCACCATCTGACTTGCTATTGTGGCAGCAGCTTGAATCAATATTTAAGTGTGTGGGATCAATAAGAGGTGGTTAATAACACGCCACACACCCTTCTGAGCCAATTGATCTTCCGAAAGATAAACTGTTAATAAATCAAGCTGCGCAGACCTCTCCTGCAAACGCGATACAAGCTGAGGTCAACAAGCCATCCCAAAAGCTGTGTTGAAACGGCCATTCTTCCCCGAAATTCTTCTCGAAACGCCACGAGATGTCTCAACAGAATCATAACCTACCCTCTCATAGTAATCGGAATACAATTCAACGGCTATATGACGCATTTGCCCGAGGAGATGGAGCCGCAGCGTTAGCAGAGATGCACGAGACTCTCGATTGGAGAGAAGCAGACAACTTCATATATTCTGATCGAAACCCATACGAATCCCCACAACAAGTAGCAGAGGGTGTGTTTGGCAGATTGGCTTCTGATTGGGAGGATTATGAGGCCACGCCATCGGAACTACTTGAGGCGGGTGATGTTGTAGTTGCACTTGGAAGGTCGAAGGGTATCCACAGAGGCACGCGCAAGCTTATGGATGCTCAATTCGCACATGTTTGGCGCTTGAAAGGTGGAAAGATTATTGGCTTTCAGCAGTATATCGATACTTTAGGGGTTTATCGGGCTACGGTTTCTTGATTGAAGCTGTTTCGGTAGTCTGATGATCACCGTATAGCACTACGCCTCCGCACCATAGACTTAGTCTCACGGGAACAAGTGTTTATAACAGGAACCACTTGAACCGTGATTTGGGTTAGGAACGGTAAATTGGACACGCAAGGCGGTGGTACGGCCAGTGAACCGCGCGGGGGTCTCTTGTCACGGTATTATCAATGTCAGCCCGTTGCGGTGTGTTGCCTGCTTGTAAGGAATTACGGAGATGTTGTTTGGACAGTTGATGTTGCTGCTGGGGCACTGAGGCACACCCAATTGCACGATCGATCAAGTTATGCAACTTCTAGTTGGCGGACTTCGAACAAGCTGCTGCAATAAGCAAATAAGCTCTCTGAAGACTCTCTTACACCTTGACATCACAAGTCACACCTCTAGGCTGGGATTGGTTAAAGCGTGTCGTGTTCTTCACAATTATGTCAAATCCTGAAAATGGTGGAAAAGTGAAGTTACATTGATGCTTTTGCTCACTGGAATAGTTCTTCTATTTGGTTCTTTAGCCGATAGTCTAGGCTGGATGAATCCTCAGTAGAAAACACGTTTGCAATACCGGTCTGATCCAGGTAGCAGCTCACTTCCGTCTTGTCCAAAGAAATCTTGACACATACCGTCGATATAGTGTCAGCCAACCGCCAGTCCAGTCAGCGATATACTTCGTCTCCATCCAATTGCAGATCATGAGCCCATCGACGGTGCTAAGAGTTACAGGTACTGAAAACGATATGGACAGCGAAGAATCACGGCGTTCGGACCAGAACTTCCCCTAGGCTTTGAAGTTTCTTTAGACTCATGATGTCGAACCCCGAGCCAGAAGTCGCGATGAGAACTTTGCACTAAGACCTCAAGACCTTGTACATAAGCGAGCTCCTCGTATTACAGCCACGAGACTACAGGATTCAAGAGACTATGTCATATTACGATGGCACGTCACGCTGACGAATTAGGTAAAGTCACTCTACCTCATGATTTTGTCTTTTCAGTGCTTGTCGGGACTGACATGCATAAGGAGACATCAACTAACCGACCTCAACATCGAAAATGATTTAGGCCCGACTAGAATAACAATTGCATCACCAAGAATTATGTACAGCATGGCGCTCTCAAGGTTATTACTCCTTTGTTCAACGTTCTGACGTGCTTCTCCGAGATGCTTGTCACGAGTATGACATGTCTATCGCTTGGGTTGGTTCACCAAAGTCATGCTGGGTGGACAAGAATGTGACATGTGGAAGCAATGAGCATCGTTCTGACGCTAGCTCAGCTTAGCTCAAAGAGGAATGCGTTCATCCTGGTGAGCTAGCAAGTGAGCCCACACTGAAAGTCATTAACGGAAACATGGAAACACTAGCTATCGTTTTCTATGGCTCTGGACGTGACCTCCTTTCATTCCCATGCCAGTCTCCAGTATTCAGATTATCCGAGCAATCTTTGCTAATATTATGTAAGTAAAAACCGGTTCCGATTTTTTCTTGTCCCAGTGCCGCATTCAACACAAAAGCCTGCGCAGCGCTGGAATTTGCTATGAGCCCATCTGCTTCTGGCCTTCGGTGATCGGAATGCGCCACCACCCAAGACAGAAAGATTAGACGATAAAATGCCACATGCGCCGCTAAACGAATAATTTGAAAACTTTGATAAATTAGTAGGCGACTAAAGAAGGGTAGAGAGTAGCTGTTAAATGTGCTGGCGACCCTTTGGACCGAACGGTCCCCTCGATGATCCCCTTTTTCATCCTGAAATGTTTCCGAGTCAACTCTGTAGCCACCATCATCGGTTTCTCAATACAGACCAAATAACCTTGATCCACCACTACGACTCGATATATTATTCCAACTCAACATCGATACCGGCCGATAACGTCCAACGAACATGGCCCCAGGAGCGTCAGAGCTTGTTGTATGTGGTGGCATCTCGATCTCTCCCGCCATCCGCTAATAATAACAAAGATAACAGAGTGGGCTCTTATCTCATTGTCCACAGCCGTCATAGTCGCTCGCATCTACCTCCGACTCGGCATACAAAAGAGAAGACTTCTTGGAAGCGATATCTGGATGACAGCAGCGTGGGCGATGGGAATTGTTGTGGCTGCGTTCTGCATCACCTTTATCCGCTTGGGAGTCATGGAGCAGGATATCTACCCATCTTTGAGCAACTATGATGGTACAAAAAAAGACAAACAACACGTCCACAAGGTATAGATGCAAAGAAAACTGGCAAAGAACCATTATTGACTCTGGCCTAGCTGCTCTGGATTTCCACCCTCCCCTTTTTGACCGCATTTTACCTTTGCAAAGCTGCCTTGCTTTGTGTCTACCTACAAGTCATCCCCGTTTTTATGATCAAGAGAAGGATGTTCCTTTGGGCCACTATAATCTTTGTGGGTCTTTCATACCTTGTTACAACCATCATGTTCTTCACGACCTGTACCCCTATCAGCCGATACTGGTCAGTCAATCTATCTGAACCATTCTATATATCTCAGATTTGCTAAAATTTGAAAAGGACCCTTGATCCCAACCGTCAATGCCTCATTTCCTCTTGGATGGTATTTGCGAGGACTTCGTGGACTCTGAACTTTGCTGGAGATATATTCAGTAAGCAGCACCCGCCGATTTTGAATCGAGAACCCGATACTAACAGGCCCAGTCTTTGCGCTTCCTTGGCTCATTGTCCCTGACCTCATGGTCAAAGGTTGGCTTAGAGTTGGCATTTACTTCACGTTTCTCCTTGGAATTATCAACATGGTCATGACTATTGTTCGGTTTGTCAAGCTGTATGGCGGAAGAAACGAAGGCGAGTTATCTTTGGTCACAATTCGTACGTCTCTTATAGTTTCAGCGTTGGCTATCACTAATAGTAACCCAGACTTTTGGAACTCCCTGGATTTGTATATTGGCTTGGTCATCGCGTGCCTGCCCTCCCTTCGACCTTACTTCAATCTTGCTGCAGAGTCGCGCGCGTTTAGTTACGTCAAAGGGAAAACATCGAGCCGTGTCAGTGGATATACAGGCAGTGCCAGTACTCAATCATCCGGGGGGGTTACATTCCCGAGCAAGGCAGCGGTTGGTCCCTTTGTTACACCTGCAGATCGACTTTCACAACCATCGTTGCATGACATGAATATACTCTCGAGTAACGTTTAGAGAGAAGTTGGTGTAGTTTAGGCTGAAGTTGAGTAAAATAGATTGTTGATCGTTGATGACGATTCGTTTACACCGACGTTTGGTATAAGATGTGTGTTTATAGCTGGAGAACTAATCGGATTTCATGAAAACCTTCCTGCCCTGGCCCGATCAAACACCTCTTTGAAAAGTCCTCGTTTGTTGTTGAGTCCCCCGTAGTTATGTTGTTCCATCTTAGTGAATGAGGCGTTTCATCCTTAGTGCCAAACGATTTGAAAGACATTTGTCGGCATAGAAAGGATCGAGATATAACAATGAGCGTTGTGTAGTAGTCCAGTCTCGTTCTGCGACGAAAGCAAAGTCTAATACAAAACCATGTAAGTCATGTACGTATACAACAATCGATTGTCAGTCCTCCTGTTCCTTGAGTATGAGTTTAGCAGGGGCCATCCTTCTTGCCGGGACCGCTGTAGTTCTGGCAGGGGGTCTTGGCGTCAGTGCAGACATTGACAAGCGTAGCCTTGTCGCCGTTGGCCTTTGTGATCCCGGCAACCTCACCACCCTTGCGGGCAGTGACACCCTCAATGTAGACTTCACGGGCACACTTCTCGCACTACTTGAGATCAGTGACCTTTCTCGTAGGCATAGCAAAGAAGCATCACTTACAGTGCCGCAAGAACGGTAGACTTTGCCATAATCCTCAGCGTAGAAGTTGATGATCTGCGTAATCATTAGGATCATTGAAACGAGTCCTTGGACTGGTGATTTGATTTGTGCATATACGTACGTTGACCTTTCCACATCCGTTGTGCTGGATGATCTTGTCGCTAGCATGGTAGGCACCGCCACCAATAATGTTGGTGACATCTCCGGCCCTGTCTTCTTTCTGAAGATTCAGTCAATCTCACCATTCTTGATTGAACCATTTGAAGTGTCACTTACGATAGAGATAGCATCCTCGCAGACGTCCTCAAACCAGACGAACTCAAGATTGCAGCCACCACCCTTGCAATAGACACCTTCTCCAACAGTCTTGCCAATGATGACATTCCTCAGCGTGCCGCCTCTCTCAACAACAAAAGCAGTGTCCTTCTCACCACCCTCAGCTTGCCCACTGCAAGAGCTGGGGTTTCGGTCATACTTGGCCCAGCCAGCATCAAAGACTTCACCATTCTTGACGTAAATGGGTGCCGAGATCTGTTTAGTCGAGGTGGGTGTAGGGAGACCACCTTCGTATCCCTTGCATGCAAGGACAGGGGTTATCGTGGCCGCAAGAGTGATAGCAATATTGGCAAGCATTTTGGTAGAGGTTGGAAACAAAAGCTGACTGTTAATAGCCTTGGAAGTTCGAAACGTGAGCAATGCCATCTGAGAGGGGTTATATAGACCATCCTGTGCTTTTAGGCTTAATTTTGATACTATAAGTAAGCTTAATCGGGACTGTGAAATGGAGTGACTGGGCATGTCTCATTGGTGCGATATTTCCTGTTGTCGTTCCGTAGTTGTCTTGGTAATAGACGTGATTGGTGGTTTCAGAGCATGTTTTCCTTATTTGGAGCTTCGGATGATAAGTGTCCGCGCTAAAGTTCCTCTACATGAACATCTGCCAAGACCTATGTGCTGTCAGGTTGCAGTGGTATTGGGCTTCTAAGTTCCTGAGTCCCTGCCAAAAGATATCCTTCCTCTTACTCCCTAGCTAATACCATCTACTGCCAAAGTTCTGAGGGCTCAACAAGGATTAGTCGAAGTTCCTCTGGTCATACGTGTACGCTTTTGCCAAACTAAAATCAGCGTGGCATGACTTCGTATTTCTCTTTGCTAATGGTCTCACGGTTACTGTAGGCTCCTTCAGTCAGCCATTCGTGTGTTTTGTTGGACGTTTGCTATTGCACCGGATGACCCAGCTGTAAATGTCGTAAATCATGTCGTAGCCACTTTACGTCGGACTTGAAAGTCCATTCAATCTGCAGAGCGATGTCACTATAAGAAGTGATGACTCAATTGTAAAGCTCTCACTCCACCGGAAGAGACCACAAGCTCGGCCCCGGAGCTACCAGGTATGGACGCCACCGTGGGACTCTAGTAAGATAGAGATACTTATGGGACTTGATCAGTCTCAAGGCCAAGATCAGCGGTGTAAAAGAAGATGGAACTTTGATATCAGCTTTCACTAGTTTTTGTTTCCTTGTGGGAGTGCAGTGTCTTGATTTGCCTAGTGTTATAGATTGCCAGGCGTTCTCTTTGGATAAATTCTAAGGTCCCTGGCTTCATAACGCGGCAGTCCGACTCTCGAACGATCTTCGGGCTTAATTAACCTATTAAGGGCTAGGCTATAATTATAATAAAAAATAAATCTTAAATATATTATAATATTATAACCTAATATTAATATAATAGCCTAATTAAACTTCTATAATAATAAAAGAATTATATTTAGTTATATTATTATAAAAGTCTAACTTTTTATAGGTATTTTAGTTATTTTAATTTCTATATAAAAAATAAGAGAATTATTTATTTTTTATTTTCTTAATTTATAATCTCTTAATATTATATTTTTAAATATAATATTTATAAGAATTATAATTAATTAAGTAATTAAAATTAAAAAATTATATAATTATAATATTATTATTAAATATAAAGATTAATATTTTTTAATTTTTAATTTCCTCTTTAAGATATATAACCTCTTTTATAATATATAATTATTATTATTTTATAATATTAATATAATAAAAGCTATTATAAATTAAATTATTAAGCTAAATATTTATTTTAAGCTTATAATCTTAGAAAAAGAGATATTTCTTATAATATTAAAGCACCTAAGGGTATTATAAAACCTTAAATACTTTATATAATATTATAAGCTATTATAGCTTAAAAACCTTAGAGGTAAAGAGCCTAATAAATATTTATTTATTAAGGTTATAAAGAGAAATATAAGCTAGATTAATAGCTTATTAGATATAATCTAATAGCTAAGAGAGGGATAATAAGAGGAAGATTATAGATAAAGTAGGGAAATTAGGGGGGGGGGGATTAAGGTTTTTAAGTTATTAAGTTATAAGAGTAACTTAAGCTATTAGGAAAAAGGAAGGTTTTAGTCATAAAGATAGAAAGGTTTAGGTAATAGCTAAGGAATATAGAAAGGAAAATATTAGTTAGAGCTTAAATATAATATCTCGGCGAATTACTAAATTTATCTAGTTAGCATATATATTATCTTCGAATATAATGCCGACTCTCGAATATTCCGGAGTTGACTTTGACCTCGGTGAGATGACGCAAACATGTTTTATGACAACTTTGTCGACTTTTCTTCGTTTATTAAAGGTATTGTTAAAGGTAGTATCACGTTGCGTCGTGGCGGTGGAACGCAGTAATCGATGAGCTTTTTGATAAGACTTCTGAAACACTATTTCGTCGGGAAACCCTTGTTTCACGATTCAAGTCAAGAGCCACGAGCCCGCTAACTGAGCCTAGGTATTGGTTGACGCAGGCCTGTACTCAAGGCTTGTCTTACCCTACGCCCGGATTTTCAGCTTTACCAACGTTTGTTGATCAAAGAACATCATGGTGAATCATTCTTTTGATCATAAACCTTTCGAGTACGATTCACTTTCATCTCCACGATATATCCGCATATTCTAGCCAGCGAAGCGACTGGGAGACTCTGAACTACTTTCTATCAACGGTCTCCCCCTATCCGAATTGGGGTTGAAGCTATCAGAGCTTGGGGCAATCGGAAATGGGTTGCGCCCAGTTCGTCTGACGAGTATCGTACCCAGCATAAGCACGTCATGGCTGCCAGTGGCTGCTTGTTTTTCATCCCAAGAAGTCTTTATGAGTCCTTATACAAACTTCAGGGAGCCATAAGGGCCCCAATGATATTGATCAGCGGCTTGTTGATAACAGGATGGAACTGACCCAAGCTGTGGAGGAGGGGGAGTTGCACCATGTCACGCAATTTCTTGATCAGGGTGGCAATTACCAATGTCAAGGTTGCTTCGGCGAGACGCCTTTACATTACACAGTCGAGAACTGGTATCCTGACATGGTGAGAAATCTTGAAATCTTCGGCTCAAAAGTGCAAAACGAACCGCTCTAGATCGTGACAGACGCGGTCCAGCCGCTTGTCATTTGCAACGAAAGCGGCGGTGAGGGCAAGAAACTGCTGAAATGTTACGTAGTTGGGATAGCCAGGACAAAGATAGATCTAATCCAACAAACCAAATGGCTTATACAGGAATGCCTTGTTGGACCCATGCAATATCTATCAGCTAGAATGACATTCTAGGGCGCAAAAGGCAAGTTGCAACAATGTCACAGATCTACGGGTCGGCGAGATGGGTCATACAGCGACTGGGAGAAGCAGACGATACGATTTAGGCGGCTTACAATTTTATTTTATACTACACTGAAACATTGCCCGGAAAAGGACTACAAATATTAACTAGGTAGGTAGGAAGTTGGTGATTCACTGATTCATAAGAACCAAACTTTAGAGATACGGTCATGGTTGTCCTTGCGAAATTAATAAGAGTATAGATTTATAATTCACAGAGGAAGGATTGAACATTTAAGCCTATAGGTCTGATCTAAAGTTAAGTTAATTGGGAGCCTATGAATCAAACGCGTTGTATATGACAGAGACTACCTGGCGATAAGCCAAAGTCTTCCGCCTAGGGTATGACGCAGTAGACTTGCAGAGTCAACCAGGCTTGCGAGCGGCGTATTAGTGTTTTTTAACGTGTTTAAACATATGCCGCCCTTCATACCTACCTGTCTAGGTGTTGGACCATATACAAAGTCGCTGCCACCCAGTGACATCTGCTCACTCAACGGAATATCCAACTTAATCTCGATTGAAGCACCACTCCAGAAACGTGTGACCAGCCCCCCTCGCCTGTCCAGATCTCTCCTCCGCCTGTGACTTCATCACGTCCTGCGGCGGCTGCAGGTCACGTCTCCCCAGCGTCGTTCCCAGGGCCATGGCCCCCCAACCCGTCATCAGCAAGCACAGCCCCAACCACGCAAACACCCTCGGGAAGCTCACGTCCGCCACTAACCTCCCCTCGGCCGGTAGCGCCTTGTACGTCTCTGTTTCTTGTACGTCTCTGTTTCTTGGCCGTACCCGTGCGCCAACATCCCCCACGCCGCCAGGTAGCCCTGCCTCAGCAGCTCACCCACGTGGCCATCAACGTTCCCGTATGTAGGTAGCTGCGACGCGTTCATGACCGATAGCATGGTCATCAGGTCCGGCAGCAGCCAAATGGCCTCGTGGACCCAAGAGTTGGGCTCAAACTTGACATCACTGATGGCCGTCTGGTCCTCGACAACGCGTGGCGTGAGGTACGTCGCCCGGCGGCTCGTCGTTACGCCGGCGGTAAAGTTGACGCGACCGATTAGGTAGCAGTTCTCGTGAACGCTGTTGACCCGGGAGCGGACGCGATGGTACCCTAGTGCGTTGACATCGCCGAAGATGGTATTTTTGAGGGCCGAGCATGGCGGGTCCGTCACGTTGTACCGGCCGAGCATGAGAGTAACAATGCGGGTGCCCGAGAAGAGGTACGGCGGCGGCGGTGAGTCGGTCGTGTTGGGCCCCCGACGGAGGTCGGTCGAGTTGAAGACCATGGCGACGCCCTCATGATAGTAGGATAGAGGCGTATCGTCGACGAGCGTTAGGTCATCCCCGTCGACGTCATCCCAGTCGGCGCCTGTGAGTTCATCTTCGGATCGGATCCAGTGAATGTCGTGGATATCGATACAAGGTAGGACGGCGTCTATGAGGATCGAGTCAGGGGGCAACCCATCATTCCCGAAGAGGTGGCGGCACCCGTTGCCCGTGATAGATTTTCCATGCGAGTCGACGGTCGAAGGGTCTGCCCACTCCAGGTTTGCGTATCCGGCCGCTGTCCGGAGTGGTCCCTTCTTGTCAAAGCTTCCTTGTGCGTTGTACCAGTACCAATTATTGTATCCAGTCCTCGACGCAATTGAGGCCACGGACACAACGTTCTGAGACACGCTGAAGCCCACGTTCCAGTTCACAGAACCCGTCAGGATAGGAGCGGTGAAGGCCTGGATCATGATGACCAGAGTCAAGATAGAGATGTTCCAGCTGCTAAAGCTGCGCGGTATCATGCTGATACTTCGCACACCGGGAGGTACTTTCCACTGAATCATCGACGACACGGCCGTCTGGGTTTTATTGTCGTTGGACTTGGAGAGCATGTATCGGCCGCAGGCCCAAAGAACGATGGCCGACCACGACCCCGCGATGATCTTGATCACCACCAAGCTGACTGACACGAGGGTTGTAACATCACTGACTTTGAGGAGTAGCTTGCCGTCGTTGACGCGCGAGCTTTTCTCATCGCCCGCCAGGTACCCATCTAGTGCCAATGCAATCGACAGCGCCAACGCAATGCAGCAACCTGCATGAAGGAAAAGAATGGACCACACCCTTATGACCGAGGTTCGTCTCACGGTGCCTTTGTTCAGGTTATCGCTGGGTTGCTCCTCGGCGGGCTGCTCCTTGGTTTGCGGACTGGACTTTTCCGGAATCCGGACATTGTCGAATAGGGGGAGATTTTCTCCAGTCTCTCGAGTATCGGCCATGTCGTCTGGGAAATGGAGTCTGAGAACTCTGAGGTTCAAAGTTATGTGCACTAGTTGAGACAGTTCTTGGGAGAAAAATGAACCTGTGCCGCGAGCATCATCTGTAAGGGAGGCCACCCGCTTTATGTTGAGCTTTACCGAGCATGCCGCTTTAATTCACTGGTACCGTCACAGCTTTCAAAAGCTCCAGGGAAGAGCACTCCAATCTCCGTTGCAGTTCTGAGATCCACACGTTGTTGTGACTTGTCGACCTTTCAGCCCTCGACTGCTTTTGCGTTTTCAGCAAAGCCACGACATCCAAGAAGGCCCACCACAAGGTTGTATTATTGTCTTGTGCATCAACTGATATCCATCAACGGCCAATCGCCGCTTGTAATAGCGGACAAAAGCGTGACAACCCTTCGGGAGTTGCAGTTGCCAAGACTGTCACTGTACTCAGCGGTTTGTTCGATTAATAACTCTTGTAAACAAGTGTGCAAGAAGCTTACGCCAAGCAATGAACAATTCTCGCTATTTCCACTGTAATTGGCCAGGTTGAAAGGAGTGTGGAGACTGGCTCTAGACGTTTGTTCAGCTTGCCAGCCAGGTTGCATTCATCATTAACCGACTTGCATTACCGAGCTCACTTTCGCCCTGGGTCCCTGTCGATGTCTAGGGACCTAACGTCTTGGCGAGCCCTTGCCAACACCAGCCTGATGCCTTGCCGTTCCCTGTCGAAACTGATCTGAATATCATAATCCTGTAGCCGTCAGACGTCTCCTCAGGTCGAATACGCCGGCCTGACTGTGGCAGGCAAACTCATCTCGATAGAGCCAGAGAAATGACATCAAAGAGCAGAAGGGGTGCTATGGAACACCCCTATCAGAGGCAGCGTCTTGCGAACCATTTGGCAGTTAGGGGGCCGTTCGCTTCGGACCAGGCTGAGGCACCGTCCTCATTTTGACAGCCTCCGACGGCCAATCGAACGGCTGAATGATGCAGTAGCCAAGAACGCCACAGTGAAGAATTACTGACAGACTCAACTTAACACGCGTGACCAAGATTGCGCGGATTCTCCCATGTCAGTGAAACTCTCCAGGCTTGATCAAAATTTGGATCTTGAGCCTCTGGTGTTAGAGAGCACCGAGCCTGACATACCTGCCATCACGCCACAGATACTACCATAGTTGCTTTAGGTTATTACCTAGCCTGAAATGCAGGTAGGCCGCCTGGGGACACGCTGCTGTACTAGTAAGAGTCTGCATAGCAGTATGAAACCTACACCAAGAATTACGTTTCGGCAGCCTTGGAATGGACTCAATGGAGCCGCAATCTCACGCAGCCCAAGTTGCTGCACCCGTAATCAGGAGGCTCTAACGTCACTCAACGTCCAATGCATGAACAATTCCTGGCTGAACCAGAGGTGGCCGGCTTTACGTACACATGAGGGGGTTGAAATTGTTATCTTATCCCACCTGCATGTCCTTTCAGCCCCAGGCAGGGATAGCAGCAACCTTGCAGTTTTGAGATCATCCATGGGGGCCGAAAATAAATCCCTCAACTTTTCGCTTATCCTTCCAGCTGCCGAGAAGAGAGAGAGTGGCCTGCCAAATAATGACCCCCGAAGAATGTCCTGCCAGAGAATAAGGCGGCGGCGAGCGAGGATGGCAAGCTTCCGGGCGGTGGCAATGATAATTCCGAGGGTTTCGGAGACGGTTCATGAGTCTCTAGGTGGATAGCAGGCTCTCTCTCGTCTGCAAGCCACTTCCAAACGACGTGCCAAAAGAACACGGTGGGGGGAAGTGACCAGGCTGCCCAAGAGACTTTAGCTTGTCCGCCGTCAGGGCCAGGCTGCGTTCGTCATTGGTCGATATGCAGACTCTGGCCTCGTTGTTGTCATGCGCAATGTAGTTTGTATGCATGGTTTAAGTTAGAAGCAGGCAAAGTCACTCCGCTTATCCTTTTTCTATGGTAGATCTAACTAGTCCTCAATAGTTCATTTTATCTGTTGCAAACTGTCATATATTCATTCGCATCACCTTAGAGTCCAGTGATTCTGTGCACTTATCGCCAACTGTGGAGACTATGAACGTCTATGATCCGCATGTATTCAAATCCACCAAGTATCTGAGAGACTCAGAGAGAATGTTTCTCATGAACAACGGCCCTACTGTGCGTTCCGAATCTGTACGCAATCTGTTCATCAAACATGGCGTTGTCGATGGCCTTGGTCTTATCCTTCTTCATAAACACTTTGAACTCGGCGACGGTCAGGCTCTCGTCGATTACAACAGCACATCAATGGCCTGGGATCTCAAGGATACTACAGTCTCCGGCAAGGGTGTCGTGCAGGAGCACGGTGGATTCATCAAGCCAGGTGCATGGCTCCTGTCTCCCACCAAGAAACGACTGATTTTTTACGAGTTCTGTTTTCATCATCACAATGCAACAAATAACCTCGCTTACAGCCAAACTACTCTGCTCTATTTGACAGAAGAGTTCGTCGACGAATTCTCCGAGATCCTTCACCAAGATAATCTCACTGGTGTTCTCGGAGTCTGTCTGCTCAAGTCGCCGCTCAGCACAGAGATTGAAACATCGGAAGGCCATGCGAACATTTCCGTGCCCGTTACCGATGATACGGTCTTTGGCCCCTTGAACTCGATCGAGGCTATCTAGAACTACAAGGTCAACGACTCTGATGACAACCCACCTCTCGTGGGCCTCTGATTAAAATTTCACTGCAATTATATTTGCAAGGCTTCAGATGATACCCACGTCTCCAGGCATATTCCAAGGCGTACGGGAAACTGAGGGTTAGATAAGGGCTATGGAACAAGAGGAGTGGAAGGGTAACGTTAGCAAGAAAACGCACATCAAATAGCTTGAGGCACTTTCGTGATAAAGGACCAAATCTCTTGATTGTTACAGTTCTGCTTATACTACGGAACAGTCTTTAACCTTCTTGCTGCCTCTGACATTAAACGCAGTCTTCGTTTAGTAGCTGTAACGTCCTTACCAATCCTCTCTCTCTGCATATTCAGGACTTGTTGCTGCATGTCTCTCGCTATATGGTACTTTCCCTGGTTAGACTCATTCGCGGCTACCATGGTCATGATTTGAAGGGTTCTTGGGCGGGCTTCCCCAAATCATCCCCTACTCTGTTCAAGCGCCTGATTCAAAGTTGCATCTGCTTCCTCCAGCCTTCTCTGGCTACATATTGCAGAGCTCAGATTCATAAGTGCGTCCAGGGCCTGCTCCTCGTTTATACCGGCTATCCGACGCTTCATCTATACCATTCCCGCAAATACCTTCTCAACCTAGTAAAACTTCTATTCATTAAGGAAGGTTACGCCGAGCTCATGGAGAGTTTTTAAATGTCTCATGACCAGATTTACCCCGAGTCTCCTCAGAAATCTCCAATGATTGGTGACATAGCTGTTCCACCTCGGATAGCTTCATTACGAGACAGAGTGCCTGGATCAGACGCCTTGCAGTTGAGAGCATCTCAGCATGAATGTCCCCCAAGGTTGTTTTCCGGATGCGAACACTTCATGAAGCAATCATTCGGCGTTGGCGTAGTCTCTGCGAGCTCTGGAACATGATGCCAGCGTTTCATTAGGCTTTAGGGTATAGGGATGCTAGTCGCCACCGATCTCCCTGCAAATTCGACGAGCTTCTTCAGCCCTTGCCAGTGAAGTTTGAACAAGACATTATCTTGACCTCATAACCCGCCATTTTTATGAGAACGTGGCATCTCTGGAGCATGGGGTCGGAGACAACCCGCAACGACTTGCGTAAAGCCGTCTCTGCATGGGGGAGGATGCTATCCCACGTACCCCAACTTTCGAATGTCAAGACTGGAGGGAAACACCGGGAAACGACCTCTAGTGCAGTATTTGTGTATTGTTTCAGCAAGTGATTCTTCTTAAACCAACTCTGTAGGCAATCCTGGACTAGTTCATGCATTTCGAATGCGCCTGGTGATTTTCCTTAGTAAACCAGATCAAACGACTTGAGTGAACCCATGGCTGTACGAAAACTCAGTGAATTTTCATCCTCCAACCGAACCATAGAAATTGGGATCGATTGTCCATTCAGAAATGCCATGAGTGGTAGAATATGAGACTCCCGAGGATCTCGAGCTCTGATGTCGTCAAACGTCTTTTGCCAGGTTAAGAAGATAGCGTTTGTTGCTTCAACATCTCTCTTGGGATCATATTATGGTTTTTCTAGTAAACCGGCCTTGATGGAGCTATCTCGCAATATCTCCAGGTGTTGATGGAGATGCACACCTTTGGCCCTCACGTAGACAGGTTGGCTGGGATATGGCTAATGGTAAACAGCGCAAGAGCTGAAGCAATTCTTGTATGCGGTCGTCGGGAATCATCTGCTCATCCATATTGCCACTCAGGAGAAGCCTCTGGGAGTCGAGTAGACCAAGGTGCGAAACATGGATTTGGCTTCGCCCGGCAAACTCTGCCACTCTTCTCCTGCGACTGGCCAAGAGCACGAGACCTCTCGTCGATTTCGGGATATATCGTACCATTCCTGACACTTTGTTGGTTTCTGCAGCGAATCTGGCTGAGCTGCCGAAAAATGCATCTTCGTCATCAGCACTGTCTATGGCGAGAATCCAGCTCGATGTATCTTGATCGTGAAGCCACGTTAATATAGAGTCCATGGCTTGTGATATTGGAACCTGTGCCGCCATTATGCCGCAGAGTTTATGTCTGCCAAGCAAACGAAGGGTTTTAAGGTAATCCTTTTCGAATCTTCTACTGCTGCTAGCATTTGTCCAAAACACGTGAGCCCCGGGAAACTGGTTTTTGAATAGGTAGCAATACTGCACAGCAATCTGAGACTTTCTAAATCTGCAGGCAGCATCATTCAGGCCTTAATATGATTCCATTTGGCGCATATATCTACATACCCGATGCTTCCAATGCCGTACAGAGCCAACCATCGCTCACCTCCACGAACCATTCGGGATATAGCTTCAAAACTTGGTCTCGGCCCACAAAGCCCCAGTCTTGAGGGAATGGAATCAATGAATGTCTATCGGCTTCGCAGTCCCCAGCTCATGCCAGTCAGAATAGAGTCGACCTGCCTCATCAGTTAACAACTCACGTGGCGTGCAGGCGGATAGGAACCTGGCCAAGCCTCGAGAAGGGCCTTCAAGACGGCTGCAGCTATCACTGCCACGTATATATGCCAGGTATCACTCTCATTGCTATGCGCATGGTCGCATACGCCTCTAATTAAAACGCGTGGAAGGTGATCCCACACCCCGACACTCTCCATCATAAATGCGATGACATTGTCCCGTGATGCAATGATATCACGATCTTGACCAGAATTCATGACTGTGTCGCCAGAGGCAATTAGTCCAAAATGCCCCTTTGGGTCTGGTCCCTTCTGCAGCCCGGCTGGGCTCAGTTGGAGCCGATGGCGTGGGATCATGTCCTGTGCGAGGACACACCCCAGCTGGTCGCAAGTCTCCTCGGCTGCTTCTTTGCAGATCTGATGATCTATGGTTTTACATTTGGCGCACAGAGAACATGCGGCCGAGTCTTGGTGCCTGTGTCGATAGTGGCAAGAAAAAAGAAGATCTTTGTCTGGGCCTGGATAACCAACCTCCTCCTTTCCAAGCGCTTTGTAGATAAGCGGAAGTAGACGAGAAGGTATCGGCTTAGCCGACTTCGAGCTCTCAAGCTGTTTAATCTTGCCATGAGCGATCGGATCTCCAGGCTCTGTCTGCCAAGAGACTCGGTGAGGGTGGCCTTTCGAACAAATCGGTCAGGAAACTGGCGTCCAAAGTCATATGCGACGATCCCCTCGCTGAGAACGACATCGCCCATAATCACTTCCTCCTTGTTTGTTTGAGGACAGGCCCCACATATTCCAATGATAAATGCTACTTGCAATGCTCGGAAGCTGCTGTTGAGACGTGCTGCCACACCCGATGCTGCTTTCTTACGCATTCCGGGCATGCGCACAAGAGCTACATTGTGGTTCCTAATGTGACTGATCGAATAGAAATTCGGGTCTCTATCCCTTTTCCCCAAAATGTATCCATTCTCGTCCCAGAAGCCATCAAATGCAGGTTCAACAGCGTCTCTTAATGTCGTCCCGGCAAGTTGGTCTGATGGGGCTGAGACTCATGGCGTCATAAATTGGCAGTTATATAAGGAATGCGAGATCAGATCGGTCGTTCCCTGGCAGGATGAGAGAGTGGGCAGAGACATTGTGCCTCTCCTATCCCCTATGAAATCCAGAGTGAGGTGGCATGACCTTGGCTGACTTCGTCCCAGAGCCGCATGGAAGAATATGAATCCCAGCCGAATGGCAACCTCTCGCCCTTATCCGCGAACTTCTTCAAGCGCGTCAAGCCTGGCTCCTTTACCACTGGCGAAATATGCCTAGTTCTGCGTCCTTAATGTGACGCGAAGTAAACCAGTTCTACTGGATTTGATTTCGCTCTATAGAAATGATAGGCCAGCACAAAGTGCTCTCTAGCTTGACAACCCGGCCATGGTCTATAGCTTCGGCTGCTTCCACAGAAGCACCTCCGATAAGACGGAACCAGTGGTGTGGAATCAAGAATTATAGCAAGGGCCTCACTACATAAGCTGTGTTCCGCATAAAGTACGCGCTCGCGGAAGGTTAAGACTGAAGCAAGGAAGAGTTTGGATTCTATTCAAGAATTACAACTATCTATATGATTAAACTAGTTTCTTCCATGCAGTTCGGTTTAATCCGTTGAATCCATCCAAGAGCCGTTGGAATATCCGAACGATGCGTGGAACAGTAGAGTTTCCAATACGGACCTGTTCCCCCATCCACTCCCGCGATAAGCGATCATAGTCTTTATCCCAGCTTTCCTTGCCCATTTCTTTCTGGATAACCATATCCCCTAGTACGCCATCCGCTACTGTTAGCAATGCTGCAACTGTCCGACACAATGTTTCTACCCCGCAACAGCTCACACTGCCCTCTCCCACAGCGCTTCCCCTATTGCCACCGACATCCTCATAGTTAATAGGGCGACATACTACATTCGGGAAACGACATCGCAAACACTGCTTTCCCTCCCCCTCCTCAGCCCCCCTAAGGCCTGACCACCTGTGTAGCAGCGTCATCGCGGACTTGGATTCGCTGCGCAACGTACACGCTTCCATATCATGGAGATAGCAAGTCTCGCTCCATTCGTACGTCAAACATAGTTGACAGCGAATTCCGCCCCTACGCCATGCTCGCAAACGCGCTCCCAGGGTGGATAAGTAAGCCGCGTCCTCCCAATACCCAAAAGAGCGCTCTCCCTCGTACTCTGCCACATCCAGTGCCTCTTGGATGTTGGAGCGCAGTAAGGACCTGGCCTCCTCATCTGGGGCATCTCTTTTCGCTACCGTTTTGCTCTTCCGGGGATCAAGATAAGGTTGGGGTTGTTGTTTCATGATGATATAATCCATTTCAGGGCTCGGGAGGTTCAATTCAGCTCGACGCCGGTCGACTTCCTTCTCGATCCATAGATCTTCCACAACCACATCCAACCGACAGAAGACGCACAACATGACCATGACGTCTTGGCTGCCCCACGGCATCGGAGAGAGGAGCCATCCCTCTGTCCCCCAATGCTGGTTAAAGCGGATATGGCTCTGGTTACGCCAGGCCTCAATCTGATCCCAGAACGTGTGCGTGTCGGTGCCAGGAACACCTGAAAGGGAGAACGCACACATGGCCGAGACTGTGTTAACAACGACTTCGCGGAACTCGCATCGGCTCCCATCCTGCCTCTGCCACCCTCGCGCGAGCGAAGATTGACAGGCATACTTATCTCCTCCCCACGGGGGCGCATCCCACTCGGAGGCTATGTCTGTTGTGCTTTGGTTCGCCCACGCTGGGCAGCAAGACCGGGGCAAACTACAGTCTCCGCACCAAGGAACCGGGCCATATCCCTGTATCCCATTTGCCTGAAGCTCTACTATCCGCTCCCAGAGACGGGCGCGGATGGAGCGGGCCCGAGACCCTTCGACTCGGGGGCATGTTGAAAGGAGATGGTCATCGCAGGCGGGATCTCGGTAAAGAAGGCAGAGCGGACATCGGACAGACCATCGCTCTAGTTGTTTCTGGACCTTGTCCTCATTGACAAGATGGTCGCTCTGATCATCCCTCCAATTCTCGCGCCAACGGTGTGGATTGGGAGATTCCCAGTGTCTCCTCTCGCACCACAGTGATATATCTTGCTTCGACCATGTGCTGATAGTCACGGCCAACCTTGATGGGTTCAATAAACGGTTGTGATACCGATGGATTAATGAACCGTCCAGTTCCTCTTGAACAGAGCATTTAGCTCGGGCTGATCGCACCGCCAGGCTCACAGATTCGCAGTGTCGTAGTCCCGTAGGCCAATTTGACCGGGACAGGGCTGAAGGATGCAGGTTGACAGTGTCGGTATCGGACAACTGGCTCTGGTGACCACCTTCATCGTCTGGAGGCAAGAGTTCATCAGCCTGTTTATGATACCAGACCGTCCTTGACCAGAGCGCAAGCTGCCGCATCATCTCAATGCCTCCGATGCCTTGGTCTGTGAAACCTTGAAGGAGAAAGTCCACCACCATCTCGTCATCAACCCTCAGGCTTAGCGCTATATGCTGGTTCTCGTACCATTTCGCCGCTGCATTCCGCATATCGTCCATGAATGACGTAGCATGGGATTGGTAGAGCCCGATAATTGTATCACGGAGCAGATGCTTTCCATATCGGCAAGTTGACTCGAAATCCCTCTCAATCCAACCACCAGGCCTAGTGTTCGACCATCTACCACAGATCTGCCTGGGCAGGAAGCAGTTGTAACATGCGGTGTCGGGAGCTCTTCGTTCTGCGTAGATGGCGTTGCCAAACTCGGTTTCCATCGCTTCGGTACCACCATGGACGCACTCGCGCAGGTTATGAAAGACGCCTTCGCCCTTGCGTCCGTTCCCGATGCAGAAGCTGCATTTCTGCCACCACCAGTCGATGGTCGCTGCCCACCTCTTCACCACAATGTCTCCATCAGGCCGATTGGGAGTTGATCCAAGTGCATCAAGCCTGGTTGGAGCTACGTTACTCGGACAAACCCCAGGCGGGTTCAGGGGTAGGTTATCGAACGGTGGCAATCCTAGCCGATAATTCTCTCGGACATAAAAGCCAACTGTCAGTGCCTCGAAGACGAAGAGGAGCCTCGGTATCCAGCTGTCTTTGTGGGGAATTCGATGCTCGAACCAGGCTCGGGCGCTCCGTTCTAGGAACAGGTCCACCTTGTCGTTATCTGATGCTAACTTGGCCAGCATCTTGGCAAAGAATTGGTCGTCATATGAGCACAGAGCTGCAATGACCCTCCTCATGACTGGTTTTCGCTTGCAGTGGCCATCGAAACTCGGCTTCGATTGAAGCTCCTTCACCAGTCTTGCCTTGTCCTGTTTGGACCTTGCATCATGGATGCTCTGGGACAGGCAAATATCTCGGCACGGGAACCACGTATGCATGCACATACTGCAGGATCCAGGGTCCCCCAAGAACTTGGGGATACTGAGGCTCTCCAGCCATTTGAGAATCGACCTTGCTTTGTCACAGCCGTGCCAGCGATCACATTGTTCCATTGCGTGACCCGGCTGCGTGTTCCCGTTCATGACAAAGCAGAACTCGCACCCAACTGTCTCCCACCACTCCAACGTCGCGTATGCCTTGTCGAGGCGTTTTTCGAGCCTGCTAGTACTGCCCTCGGTGTCTCTTGCGCGTTCCTGGATTAGATTGATGATCAAATCCTGCTGGTGGACCGTAAATGTGCTCAAAGGTGACTTGGTCGAGCTAAGGAGTAGTCCTGCGAATTGTTCTTCAGACCGAGGCTCCCCCTCGTAGTCAGATGGGAATTGATTTTGCGTAGGAATGAATGCGGATGCTATTGCTTCTTCTAGGGCAGACGATCCAGCTTGCGTCCGATAGCGTCTTCTCCTTTTCGCCGGTGGCGATCGCAAGCGTTCGGGGCTTTGACGCGTCCGCGACACGCGTGAACCACGAACGCGTTCCGGCGAATGGCGACTGCGCCGACTGATCTCCTCGTCCATGTTTCTCGAGTTGTGCAGACAAATTCGATCGATTAGTTAGTTAGATAATTGCCGGATGAATCTATGTGCAGTAGGTAAAGTAGAGACAAAGAGGAACGTGTAGAGAGGCCTGCCGGCTGATTGAGCAAGGTCTAGAAACGCAAGGATGTCTGAGGGAGAAGCATTTCGGATCAATACTAATCCGCAGCGCCCCATTTTGAGCCCCTTTGATTGGTGTGACAGGCATACCCTCCAATGATCACATCTCTCATTGCCAGCGGAGACGGTTGAAAGAAGCAATACGAGGCCATTTATTCTCAAGCCATCTATCTGGTTGATTTGAAGAAAAATACAAGTTATCAGCCAAGTTGTGAGGATGAATGTCGAATCTCCGTACCCCATTATCGGCCGTTGGGATGACATTGAATTGGAACCCTGAGTTCCCTGTCTTATCCGTCCTTTGCCGTCTGCAAGACCTTTGTAAATGCCACATTTTGGCGTAACTGTCTCGGTTGCACCGTGGCCGTGCTGACAAATGTATTGGAAAAGGTCTAGCGACGAGAAGAGGTTATCCACAAAGACGTGATTTGTCTACTCTGGCAACAGGTTAGTAAGGGAAATACGACGAATTAAGTCAAGTTAAATACTATGATCATATACTCGGCTTCTGTGATGACGTGATTAACTTTTTGGACCTCGTTAGCCCCGTTAGGAACCCTCCATTGGCCGCTTCTTCCCTTGCCTTCCCTTCTCCCTCGTTGTGGTGCCGCTACCCCAGACCCCCGTTCTCTTTCTTCCATTTGGCAACAGGATTTCTTGGAAATGGCCTTTCATCGCTGCTTGTAATTCGCGTTGTATTTCTCTAGTTTGTTATCCGCCTGTATCTCCAAGTTTAACCCTATCTTCGGTCACCTTGAGCTACCTCAACTGAGGATGAAGATGAATATACGGACAACTACTGGTGTCTGGATTTAGCTTCTTCTCTCTTCTTCGCGTCCTAGGATAGTATTAATGTTCTCCAGATATATTCGGAATTTGTCTTGTCATCGGCTGCCTAGTTCGGGATCACGTCGTACAGCTATACTTTTCACCATACAAGCTGACAATACCAACCCACTTCCCATATTCCTATCATTTAACACTTATCGCTGGCAGAGCGGATGACTTTTGATGCATATGGCTCGAGGGAATAAGGCCTCAGTGCTCAAAAATAGTCGTCAGTGTTATTCTTAGCTTCATCATCCTCTGCGTCTACGAGGGCGGAGAGGAAAAAGCAAACAGACTAGTAAGGTTGACCAAGTTCTGATAGATGGCTCTCTACATTTCAGCATACAAGATATCCAACCTGACCTACGCGGGTAAAAATGCCTTTCTATGAAGTCACATTGTCCTAAAGAGTCTCTAGGCTTAGGACGTTGACATGGTTGGCAATTTCCATGCGGCCTCTACTAGCCATCACATGCCAGACGCGACGCATGTTCCTCCGTTCCTCCTCTAGGCAAAGCAACTTCAACCGTGCCGGCTGACATTGACCATCCGTCATGCGGATTGGCGGTGCTGCGAAAATGACGAGCCGCTCTGATTCGAGACCAAGTAGATCAAAGGGGGTGTGGCAGCTACCATAAACCCAAACGTCCTCCGCACCGAGATAAAGACGGTTACGAGCAAGACAGACCAGCTGAGTTAAATCTTGACGCAGATAGGGTTCCTCTGGTCCTTGAAACGACTTGATTGCGATTGGGGCAATGAATAATTAGATGAACCCTCCAGCGCGGCCCTCATCGTTCCACCACATCCCATCCATCTGGGCCGTTCCCAAGTCGGATTCACCCCCTCGACCTAACCGCTTAGCCCCGTGCAAAGAGAACATACTTTAGACCTGCCTCTGCCACCTACCCTCACGGGCCTCACCCGGCTTCAGCCACCTTCCCCTACCACATAAGTGCACCGGCGAGCATGATATTTGCTTACTTGCTGCAAATTTATTAAGATACTCTTTGCTGCATGCTCCTTTTCGTAAACCATCAATCGCTTCACCCTGAGGCAAGCCCAGTCCTAAATCATAGCTACCTCCGCACTAGGATCTTTAAGGCTCCAATGCAGTCACTCACGACGCATGGTAAACTCCGCCGACACGACTCGCCATATCCTCTCCTACCTCTTATCATCGTCCGTGTCTTCCAGACGGCTTCTTTCCTCGTCGTAATCCCCACCGTCTCATATCTTCTATTTCACTTGCACAACCGGTATGTCTTTCTTCACCTGGTGAGAAACAATTAGTTCAACACGATCGGTAATCTCCTCAATAACTGACAATGCCACCTGTGTAGCTCTCTGCAGCCTCGTATTTCACCCTCCTGCAACTAGGCGCTGTAACTATTGTCTCTCGATTCTATCCTTTGCCTCTGGCCATGCGCCTCATCATCGACACCGTTGGCTGTTCGCTCTGGATCGCTGGGTTTTCCTTCATGGCCGCCTACGACTTGAAGCATAAGATCCTGGCGCGCTGCATCGGACACTTGATCTGCACGCTCTACAAGGTGATGTTCACTTCTGCGACTGTTGGACTGTAAGCTTGCCCCATTTTGCCCTCCCATATTGCATTGCACGTTTGCTTTGAACAGGAATGAATCAGTCCAAGGACAGACTGATATCTTTCACTCGTTTTGTACAAAAAGCTTCCGGACTGCTCACGCCCCTGCTTTATTCAAGGCCATCTGCGCTTGCAAACTGCTCCCGGAACGGGCATTATCTTTTCTGACGTACCCCTTATTCATGTGGGTAAGATGCACCAACATGGGTTGTCACCGGCTTACAACTTTAGGCAAAACTTCAATGCACGCTCTATTTCTAGTGCCAAGTTGATTACGCCAGTCAGATCCAAAGAATAACAATACAAACATGAGACTGGGAGGATTTTCGCCCGGCCCGACGGCCCCGCTTCCCGCTAAACCACCCAGAAAGTCAGGACTAGAAAACTAGCTGGGCCTGCTTTATCATGTCATAAAGCTCCTTCTCAACATTAAAAAGACCTATCCTAACATAATAGCAACTTGCGCGGATGAATAATAATAGATAAACCCTAAAGTTGCGTGCAGCCAATAGCAAGCAGGCCACCCTATAGATAAAAAGGCTTAGCAGTGTCAGATAGTTAGAAGGGAAAAGTACTAACATGGCTATTGTCATTGCAGCATAGTGGGGTGGCGGGACAGCTCCCAGCATTTGTAATAGATGAGCCTGAAAGTAAACGTTAGATTCCTAAAAGCAGGACAGAGGGGAAATCTTACATGTTGCCCCAATGAGAATGTTCGAATCCCGAACAACAATACCAAGCAAGCTCAAGATTAGGCTGATTACCCCATTACGTTGGGTTCCAACAGTCTGGCAGCATTGCAGACTGGCTGGTGCCTGGCACAGGCCAGAAGGTGCAGTTGTGGATGTGGCAGCGGCGGTTGATTCTGTGGTAGACTCGGCCATAGATGTCGTCGTTGATGCCGGTATGGTCTCAGTTGTGGTCGTTGTATCGTCGGTAGACTGCGCAGTTGATAGAGTGACTGCGGAAGTTGTAGTCACGTCAACAAGTGCAGTGGTTTCGGAGCTGGTCGTCAAACTGCTCTCGACGGTGGATGGTCGGCAGGGACCCGCCAAAGCAGCGCCGAAAACAATTGGCAATGCCAAGGCAGTGAATCTCATTTTGACGGATCGAGTGACTGACTTTGAGCACTTCGAAAAGAGAAAGGAGTTAGAAATGCGGAAGGAGAGGAAACGGGAACATGTCCAGCGCTGCAGACTAAATAGATGGTGATGGTACTAGCTGAGCTACTGCCAATAGTTTCCTAATAGTCTATGGGCTACAGTGGGTCTCAAAAAGTAACGACACATTTTCCCGTACCCCGCTTTTACTTCTACCTCCACCAAAATCATCACCAACTTCAATCGTTCATCACGCAGTCAATTTACGTCCAAATGGCCCCAAAAAGACATCATTCTCCTCATACGCGAACGAGGATTGTTTGGAGATACAATTCGGGCGTGTCGGCCGCCCAGATCGCGCGGGAAGAGGGCGTCTCTCGACATGCAATTTACGGTGTGGTACGAAGATATCGCGACCAAGAGAGTGCCGCGGACCAACCCAAGTCCGGCCGGCCGCGCATCATTGGAGAGAGGGAAAGAAGGAGAATTTTGAGGGTTATTGCCCAAGATCCTCATCTTCAGATACGTGAATTGATTGAGGAAGCTGGGTTAAGCTGCTGTAGGGCGACTTTAATCTCATACCTACGAAAAGAAGGAATCATGCATTATAAGTCTCTTCTTCGACCTTTCCTTAGTGAAGCCAACGCCAGAAAGCGTCTACGCTTTGCACGGCGGTATGTTCATATGGCTGAGGACTTTTGGGAGAAATGGACCTTCTCTGATGAGGTTATCATCGCTCGAGGAGAGGGCCAGAGGCGTACGTGGGTCTTCTGTAAACCGGTATATGTTCTTCTCATAACTGCGACTTTTCTGACTATTTCTAGCACGAGAGACTCTTCAGACGGAATGTTCAGACACGCGTACGACCGACAAGGCACTCACAGATATTCTTCAGCGCTTTCAATCATCGCAGGCGCCTCCCGATGGTCCCCCTGGCCGGCGATCCAGAAAGCCCTCGCGGCGGAGTAACTGCGCAGATTATCCTCGCATGCTTACAGCGATACCTTCCCCGGATTGTGACAAGGAATAGTTACTTCCAACATGACAACGCCAGCACATTTACAGCCCACATCGTACGAGACTGGATCTATGAGTGGTGTGAGAGTCGAAGGGCCGAGGTGGTAGACTGGCCGCCTTGTAGCCCGGATCTCAACCCCATAGAAAACCTATGGGCAATCCTCAAAGAGAGGATTTGCAAGCGATATCCAGAGCTCACATATATGCCCAAGACCGACGAAGCAAAGCAGGCTCTTATTGCAGCTGCGATCGAGCTGTGGGAAGAGATTGAGCCGGAAGTCATTGATAACCTAGTCAACTCAATGAAGCGAAGAATGCAGGCTGTTGTGCGCGCCCACGGCTGGTATACTAAGTATTAGATACACCAAAAGATGCAGCTCTCAATTATCTATAGATTGATATAGAATACGATGCAACTGGCCCTCATTTGGCTGCGCAATAAGGCGCTGAAGATGTAGTCTCATTTGGTGGTGGTACTGATACAGCGGGGAAACCCGGAATGTGTCGTTACTTTTTGAGACCCACTGTAGCCCAGACTCGCTATTGAAGCGAGATTGCATTGCTCTTATTGGCTTAGATGGAAATCTTCCCGCACCACCAATTTACAACGTCGTTTCAAAATAAATTTTCAACTGCTCCCATCTGGAATTGATTTCATCAAGACGAATCAGTTTAATTGTCTGCTTATCTTGGCTTTAAGACGTTGTGCGGGCTGGTCTGACCCACGTCTTCTGGATACCTATGTATTGACGTCTGACCAATCTTTCGGCGAAATAGCGCAAGTGCTCTTACAGCCTATGGGAGATGAAGCCATCGCGAGTAGAGGAAAGGCATCGTGAAGTGCAAAGCAAGCGGGGATGGCGAGATGCATTATTGAGTGGCTGGTAGTCTAAATGTCGGAAGATTCGGGTAAATATTAGTCCGCCTGAGCTCAGTCACCACCTACCCGGGACTCGTTATTTCAAAACGATGTTAGGGAGACAGATGAGCTTCTGCGGCGGGCGTGTAGGTAGATAGTCTTAACATCATTTAATAATAACAAACGCTAGAACGCTATTCCCCCAACCTGGCCCAAGGCGTTACTAGAGCGAAGGGGCAGTAAGCAGTAAAAAGAATCCTGTGGCATTACGAAGAAGGGTGATGCGCATGAAGTGCAGAAGTTGCCCCTTCCGGGTCGAATCTGTTGATAACATAAACAAAAGAGCATACTAATTGTGAAATCTAAAATATCCTCGATATATTTGGGGCAAATGTCCGCTAGCTTAACCCGTCACTGCTTTTGTTTCTCGAAGATAGTGTTAATGTACAATTCATCTTCTCGGAAGGAGGTCCCGTCCAAGTCGGCCAGGCTGAAGGCGATGTGCGAGTCATTTCCCCTGACCCTGGCCACTTCGTTATCGGATTCAAAGCCTCTTGGGCTCCTAGAAATCCCATTTCCCACCTCTCCCTGCTATTCCAGCCCAGAGAGAAGGCACCTCGACTGCTGTTGGTACCTTTACTCGCAAGCGCAGGACTCCTGGTAGGATACCTAAGATGGTAAAGGACGAACAGGGGCGATACTGGACTCCAACCCCTCCTCCAGCAGCCAAAGAGATCGGCCCCATTTTTGGCCATCGCGAATTTCAACACGGGAGGTTTAAAGTGATTCGCCACATACCGAGCTCTGATGCCACCATGTCATGGCTCGACTGCAGCAGACCTATCGAGCCGATCAAAGTGGGCCTTTGCCACGGGACCAAGTCTTCCCAGCTTCCTCTAGTCTCTCTTTCTCTCAAGTTCGTCCAGCTGTGGGTTGATGATGGTGGTGTTTTGACGGGGCTGCAGTTCATTACTCAGGATGGCAGATATAGTTAATAGATGGTTTCATTGCCTGCTGGTTATAGTGGTTTGAAAACTCGCTTAGTTTTTCCGCAGCGGACATGTCTTGTAATTTGAACAGGTAGCTGCAGAAGGGTATGTAAATACTATCTTAGTTCTCCTCTAGACACTATCTACTCTCATGTCAATATACCATATGTCCAACTATATCCGTATATCCGGCAAAACTGCCGAGCCGAGTTCCGTTCAAACTCTGACTTCGGGATGACGACAACGATCACGGAATCCACACGACCAAACTTTCAGCCGGACTTTTGTACTTTAGCCGTTTTAAAACTCGGTCGTTATCGAACCTGGCTTCAATCAACTCATGACCTACAATCCGATGCGATGGCAGGGGCCAAAGAGAGATCCGAGTATTCAGGCTCTAAGCCATCATCCCAGTCATGGTTGAACCCCAAGAAGTGGATGTCTGGATTGGACCTTGATCTGTGGTCGTTACTGATGCTTGCCAAGGGTGCACTCACGCTAGTCTTGGTTATTTCCATGCAAGTCGCATACCACACGCCTTCGTCGATTCGCACGTGATGGTTTATTCTAACAATACCTCTAGCCACCAGAGCACCGCCGTAGCTAACATTACGGTTACTACTGGTTACCTCGCCACCCTTATCTCCGTGTCAGCACAATGTCTGCTCCCACGCGCAAAGTATCTCAAGATACTCTTCTTCGCTCTTTTGGCCTCATGCATGGCCGCTGCATTGTGCTGTCTCGCCTGTTTCACAGCGATCAAGGCGCGAAGGTCTCACAGCACCGCAGATGGTGTCGATACCGGACTTGGAATATATGACAGCACAGCCAGCGCGGTTAGCGGTATTTGGCTTTTTGTAATGATATGGTTGGTTCTGCCCATTATACTATTGTCACAATTATCCACCAATGCAATGGCAGGGTCGCTAACGGCATTCGAGCATGGCGCCCAAGCGAGCTCCAGGACCCGATGGTTGCATTCTCCATCTTCGTTGTAGTGACTCTCACCAGAGGCGGTGCCTTTCAAACCACTTCGGACGCGCTTGAATTTGTCAATCGCCTTCTGAAAACCTTTCTTATTGGTTATTCTGTGGCCACCGCCGTTTCATTGTTCGTTCTTCCCATGACTTGCCGGCAGATTGTCCTCGATGACATGCACACATTTACCAAGAAGGCCCAAGATGTATCTGCCCATTTCTGTGTCTATCTGCAAAATCTTACAGAAAAGGCACCTCCGTCCCTGGGCGAGCCGAGTGATGCGAGAATTAGGGTCAATGGCGATGCTGAGGCCGATCGCACCAACCTTGTTGCGTCAGTCAAGAAGCTGCATATTTTGCTCGATAATATCCAAGGAAATATGCCCTATGTGATGGACGAGGTCGCTTTCGGAAAGCTAAGCGGCAATGACATTGAATATGTAGCTCGCCTCTTACGACACCTTCTTAGGCCACTTTCTGGTTTACCGGAATTTCCCCAGCTTGTCGACAAGCTAGGTCAACAAGGTTTAATCTGGAAAACAAACCCAGGGCATCAAGAGGCTGCTGCACTTGACCACACCAAGCGAACCATGTCCTCGATCAACGCAAATCTATCAACCGCCCACGACCTGTTTACCGATGGACTACGGTTGTCAATGTCGCAGCTCGAAATTGGGGAATGTATCGACCCATCTCATCAAACCTCGATGTCACAACAAGACTCTGGTTTGAACCTTCTCAACGAGATTAGACGGCATATTGAAGAATCACGAAGGTTTGGATGGAAGGATGAGAACGAAATCACGGAAACCTCATATAATGCTAAACAGCATCCCTCGGCCCTGTATCTCCTGTCCATGTATGCTATGGCCCTTGAAGCTACTCTTGCTCTAGCATCCTTTGCCCATTCCAAAACTAAGGACGGAACAATGGCAAGGTGCCGACTTATCTATCCCAAGCATCTGTTCGGTTTCCGCTTCTCGCGCTTCAAGACAGAGGCTTTCGATCCAAAGACATCGTCGAGAAAAGCCCGCAAAGCTCCTGACGGAAGCATGGTCATCAATGCAGAGCACATGGAACCAGACAACGCTTGGCAAAGAACAAGTGGCCACTTCCGCATCATTCCACGTCTTTTAGGGTCGGACTTGAGTGTGTTCGGTCTGCGAGTGGCAGTGGCCTCTTTTTCAGTTGCCATTGTCGCTTACTTGGAAGACACATACGAGTTCTTCATCCGACAGAGAGGTGTATGGGCAATGATTGTTATTGTCATCGGCATGGGTGCGACGAGCGGCCAGTCTGCTTCGGGTTTTGTTGCTCGAATCATTGCTACCATTGTTTCTCTTGCACTCAGCTTTGCTGCTTGGTACATGGTTGTTGGACACACTCCTGGTGTGATTGTTCTACTGTTCATCGCAAACATCATTGAGGTGAGTCAATGTTTGATGGTTTGCATCTCCACGATGGAATAGAGGACTAATTGCCCGGTAGTACTACTTCTACGTTAAGAAACCCCGGTACTTCAAACCTTCAATGATTGCGCTTGTCACACTAAATGTCATTATCGGTTATGAGCTCCAGGTATCATCTGACAATCGCCGGTGAACATACGAAAAGCTAACGCGGTTTCTAGGTTAAAAAGCTCGGCAAGGAAAGGGCTGAATCTGGAGGACAACCATACTATCCCATTTATCTATTTGGTCCCTACAAGCTCGCTTGCGTCGTCATCGGTTGCGCAGTCTCTTTCTTCTGGGTCGTATTTCCCTATCCGATTACCGCCAAGTCCAAGGTCCCGGGGCTAGTTGGACAGTCTCTCTTTAACCTTGCCAGATTTTATAGTCATGTGCATAACTCTTCCTGGGGGTCAATGCAGGAGAGCAATGGTCTATCACCAATTCTAACTGGGCCTGGTTCACCTTCGAGGATGATTCTAGCAACTCTATATCGTCAACAACTACACATCTTTACTAGCCTCCGAGTACACATGGACTTTGCCAAGTATGAACCCTCTATAGGAGGCAAATTCCCCCTGGCAATATACAACGAAATGACATCCTTATCTCAGTAAACTTTGAATATATTGGCTCTAATGGCTCACGTCGGATTCTGTACGCCATTTGATGACGATATTTCACATCAAGAACCTACCACAGCGTCTGCTGCAACTTTGGCAACTATTTCAGAGTTCTCCAATCTTCACGGTTACGAGACTGTTCTTTTGCTATGTCAGATGAGTTCTGCTTTGCAAAACAAACAACCTCTTCCTCCGTTCATGTCTGTGCGCGGTTATTTGACTCCTGTACAACACTTCCAAAAACTCGAAAATGATATACGACACACAAACGGCGTACAGAGACTAGGAACGTCTGTCTTGGTGACCATGCGGCTCTTGGAAATTGCCATGTATCTCAAGCTAAGAGAACTGTTAGAGTAAGTCTGCGATGTAACTGACATTGAAGCTAGGATGGAAAACTGACGTCGCTATAGCAACACCGCAGTCCTTGTAGGAGAAGTTTCCCTTAATGATTATTGCTAGGTTATTTTGAAAAGGGATGATGAAAGAATAGCTTTATCAATATAAGAATTACTATTATCCTCCAATCAAGAAAAAATCTATTTGTGATATCGTTTTTCTACATAGGAACAATACTTCTCTAGCTATATCAAAAAGGCAACGCTCTCGTCTTCTGTACCCAATGGGGAACAGGGTTGAGCGCTCAGTTCACCATAATTACCTAGCTGATGCGAGCAAATCCTGCAAGGTCAAGGCACGGTCGGGAATTCGGAGCCTTTGATCAACAAAACGAGGGTGAGATATAACTAGTTATGATGGACGCCTTCAATGCGTCTCATCCCAGTGCATTTTCCGTGTCAATAGTATCGTGATGTTAAAATCTCTCCCTGTTTCCTGTGTCAGCCGTGCTGGCCACAGCGGGTTTATGGTCTAAATACGCTCAAGCCTAGATAGATTGAAGATCCAACGATAGAAAATATTATCCCGCAACTACAGACTGCAAGGGTTTGGGTTAAAAAGTGAGATTCTTACTCCGCGAGGCGCTGAACGTAGCGTAGCTAGTCCCGAAACAAAGATACGACTACTAGGCGCCGCAAAGCCAGCTAGACTCACCTCTACTTCAGCCCAAGACCATGTACCAGCGAGCTGAAGGTCGCTTATTTTGAACAGGCCAAGATCGGATCCGCCAAGTCACAAGCTTCCCAATAATCTCGTACATTTGTAGCTAGTGAGAAATTAAAAAAAAGAAAACGCATATGAATCAGGGGCACATAAAGAGTAGAGTCGATCCGATTCCCCAACATCCGGCTTCTCTGCTTTCTTCATCCTCTGTCGCTCGTTTCTTTCAGTGGTTCTTGTCCCTCGTTCACCATGCACTCGTCCAACCTCTTCGTGGGCACCTTGGCCTTTGTCGCCGCCGCTGTTAGTGCAGGCATTAGACATTACGAGCTCTTTAAACGCGAATATTATCTAACCGGAATAGAACCTATTAATTGTTAGCGGCACGTCCTTTATGAGCTTTGGGTTGTATCTTTCCTTCTCCATGTACCTGACTCCAATGCGAATACCATCTCCGTCTTGAAACTCCACCTCATGTCCAAAATCAACGTTATTTGGATCAAGACAAGTCAGGCACGTGTAGACAACTTGAGCATACCTTGGCCCCATGTATGCTGGCAATTCGTTGTGGGCCATCTCCATAAGTTTCTCCTTCAAGGTTGCTTCGGATTCTACGCGGACAGCATCGCGGATAAGGCCTAAACCCTCCAACGGAATTGGATGTCCGCAATCCGAATCATAGCTGACGAAGGACCGCCACAACCCAATCTCGAGCAGGCATACCCCAAGACTGAAAATGTCGTGCTGCATGATATAGTCCTTCCTTGGCGTTCGACCTTGGCGATTGGGATGCCGGTATGAATCTTTGTCTAGTCACCGTCGTTACGGAGATATGTGCGGCCATCCTCCTTGCGAAAGTTATCGAAGCCAACTAGGAACGTAGACCTCCTGACCGTTTTGGCATCCGCCAAGGTGAGCATAGTCTCCGGGCGGATATTCTTGTGAACGAAGCCGAACATGTGAACATAGCTGACGGACTTGGCCAGCTCGCGCGCGATATCGAGCTTGTCAGATATCGAGCGGGGTGCAGACCCGGTTGTGAGAAGGTGCCGGAGGCTGCGCGGGTCGGTGAGGCCTTCGGGCTTCTCGAAAACCAGCGTGAAGGACGCCTGCGATAAAGGTCCAACCTTTGTTTCATCCTTGACGACACCTTTGCATGTTAAGAGGCCAAAGGTCTGCGGGGTCCTATGGCGTAACTTCCTGCCTAGATCCCGTACATCCTTCTTCATGATCTCGACGTTGGCTCCGAGAGAGCACTCGATCCGATTGAGAATAAGTTGCTTGCTAGATCCCACTCTCTGACCCAACACGGCATCACAGAATGGCATAATATTCCTAGCCATAGAGTCGAGCTCGTTTTTCTTGAGAAAAACTTGCAGGCCATCCTGCCTCTGCCAATCCCTCAGACCATCTCTAATGACAATGGCAGATGGGATCGAGGCCGCGATGCTGGTTTCTCGGCGCATACGCACAAGTTCGGTGTCGACGTGATGGTGCATCATCCGCATAATCAAGAAAAGTGATGACTCTACTTTCCTCTGCCACTGCTCGAGCTTCGATGGCCTCATCAAGAGATGACCTGACAAAAACGTACTTTCCCTTTCTTACCGCCAGCCTTGCATCTCCGTCTTCCTCGGCTACATCCATCTTGGTGGGCTTCTTCAACAGTCCCTCCAGAATGAGTATGACCCTTCTGAGCTTGGTGAAAATCATGTCTAGAATCCGGTGGTGCATCGTCCAATAGTTTTTATAAATAATAAGGCTATTCCAATAATATATATTAAATCTTATATAGTATAAAGCTAATTTTTCTGGAATTTTTCAAGGTAATTTTTCAAAATAAAATTCTTTTTCCCAAGACCCGCGGACTAAGGCTAAGCCTAACCGTATTTAGACTACTAATACTATTGATAAGTCTAGTTAATTTTAAATCTTTCCCGTAAGGCTTCCCCAAATCGCCTGATCGCCTCCTCAACCTCATCTAAAGGCGCAGCGGCAAACGTGGTTCTATAGAAAATCTCATTAATCGGTTTCTCCTTGGTCGCATTAAACCAGCTGCCACGAGCCATAAGGGCGCCTTGTGTGATGGTTTCGTGCCATATCTCCTCTTCCATATCCGAGAGGGACTTGGAAGCCGCATCGGGGTATGTTTGCCAGTCCACACGTAACCATTGCTGAGAAACATCTTTAGAACCCAGTGGTAGGAAGAGGTAAAGGTCTTGTCAGTACTCACATACATGCCCGCCTGAGCAGGCTCCCAAGAGATAATATCCTTGGGCAAGTGACGCTCACACGCGCGAACCATAAAGTCTCGTCGTTTAGTGTACTCTTTTCGGATATGCACTAGCCATTCAAGGTAGCCGGCATGGCCCCAATGCTCATCGAGCAGCTTGAAGAGGGCCAGCTGACTGAAGCCACTGGGGCCTTGAGTTGAAACATCCGCGTGGCTCTTGTATCGCTCAGTGATCTCTTGGGGGGCTGTTATCCAGCCGATGCGAGATCCAGGACTGACGACTTTACTAAAAGAATCCATGCGGATTACTCGTCCGTCGACGTCAATGCTAAGGTATGAGGGTACAAGCACCTTGAGCAGATCGGCTGGGGAGCGAAATTCCTCAGAGCGGGAGGAGCCATCGGCCGAGGGATCGTATGGTGCCATTTGAAGAAAGTAATAAGGGTCGTCTTCCAGAATGATCAAATCGTGCTCTTGAGCGACTCGGTAAATGTCTCTGCGGCGCTGGAGGTTCTGAGTGGCACCGGTTGGATTCTGACCCGTGGGGATGAGGTAGAGAAGAACGGGCTTTGGGGCATTCCCGTGCTCTTCTGGCTTCCAGTTCTCGAGCGTTGCTCGAAGGCTTTCTGGCAGTATACCCTCGCTATCCATCTCTATGCCGAAAAACCTAACGCCCATCGGAAATGCAGTCTCTACCGCCGATGCGAAAGTGTAGTAGTCGGACAGGACATGGTCGCCAGGCTTGGTAAGCATTCGCAGAGCCATGTCCAGCGCTGATGTACTGCCGATTGTCATGGTGCACTGCCAATTCGCATAAGGCGGGTCGTGAACCATCTCAGTGTGTTCTACAATCCAACGAAGAAGCTGTGCAGAGCCACTTCCTTGGCTATAGTTCAAGGCTACTGAGATGTCGTACACACTCCGGCCCTCTGAAATATCATTCTTTTCTGCGAGAATCTGGTTGTTTCCGTGGTTCCCATTTACTTGAGATCCACTGACACTTGTGACCGAGGGTACTGTGAAGGCGAGGCTGTCGAATGGAAAGAATTCGCTGAGCGGAAGTCCACCACCAAGAGAGATGATGCCTGGGTTCTTAAGGTGCTTGAAAGCGCCCTTCAGAGACGACCCTGCTCGACTGGTTGACTCGGGACTCAATCGATCTAGATTATAGATCAGTAGATGCGCGCAAAGGGCTCAGGCCTGGAATGGAAGACGGCAGAAAAAGAATGAACTGCATTTACGTACGGGTCCAGTCCTTGGCCAGCGGCTTGTGCTTGTGATTCTTTGTCTTGAAGCTTTCGCTGCTGCACGGCGCTGCTACACCCCATTGGGAAAGGGGCATTTCCAGACGCATGGGGTTGAGATTGGGTATTATGTCCATCTTTCTGGCGTTTTCCGTCGAGTTCAAGGAATTCATGATTTGAAGCCGGATGGTTGTAGACTGAGACGACGAAAGAGCACGGATTTGTTTACTTGTATATAGTACTGAAAATTTCTACCACGGATCAGGCTTCCGCAAATAACAAGTCAAACACTCGTGACGAAGGCCTCTTGGGATTTGTTGATTGCACCCTACCCGAGGAGAAAACGGAGTTACCTCGAAGCACATCATGAGCGGAGATCGGCGTGTAGTGGGGCAACCCATCTCCTTAGCCACCGGCGTAGAGTTCGGCATCTAGTGGGGCCTGTCGGACAAACCGGACAAACTTAAACAGGGGTCAAGAAATTTCTCCGGGTGGCCCTAGATCACTCTCCGATGTCTCCTTTGCCATGATCCCCCCAGGTCAGCGTCAACTGAAGGGCCCGGGACGATGAACGTGAGACTTGCGGCCTGCGAGCCCTGTCGACGGTCCAAGTTGGCTTGTGGCCATGAGCGGCCCACTTGCACCCGGTGTCGCGACCGAGGCCAGAGCCCACTCTGTGTTTACAGAAAGCGGCCATTCCGCAGAAGGGCACTAAGAAGCCATAGCAAGGAGCTCGAGTAAGTCTGCATCAAGAGGTACCCGAAGTAGCTATGCTTGGTAGCTCACTATGCCTCGTACCCTAGAGAATCGATGCCTGCTGAGGCCTTGGCATCCTCCCCTTTGCTCCGAGATAGCATGCCGCCTGAAGCTGCATCGACTGCATCGACACGGCAGCGTCACTACCCAAACCCTGGCTACCTTGGAATATCTAGTCACTCAACTCTCTTTAACCAAGTGTTGTCAGGTACAGAATCCGATTCATGTTCTCTCCAGCTGGCCGGGTCCACATCAGACTCTCCGATGCACCTCCTAGGCGACCAAGTCGTGATGAATAGTGCAGTGCATGCCTTCACTCGCTTGGACCGGATGGATATCTCCAAACTCACGCCCTTGGTTCATTCCTGGCTTGCCAAGCGTGTCAACCTTCCCCTGGCCGGACCATTCGTTGTCCGCTGCCTAGAGTCCGTTGAGCGATGGAGAGAGCTCTTAACCTCTGACCCCGTCATTGAAGTAGAGGACTCTCGGTTTGGAAGCATGAGTTCCGTCTACGTGAGAGTCCTACTGGAAAACACCCACGAGCCTATTGTTATGCATCGGGACATGAGTACAGAAGACTTTCTTTCTCAGATGCTGGGAAAGAATCTGAGATGGGAAAGCTTGGGCATCTTCTTTGTTGCTGCTGCAAGGGCAGCATACGACACACCTTACTTCACACCACTCTATTCGACTAATGAGCAGCGTCACAGGCTCATCAAGGCGCTAACTTACGTAGGAGACTGCTGCCTAGAGACCTGCCTTGAACTGGATTGCTTAAACGACCTGCAACTCGTTCTGCAGTACGAAAACTTCATTGTACACTCCCAGGTGGACGGAGATCAGAGTGAGTGTTGATTCTTGCACATGTGTGGAATCCGTTTCAAGAGCACTTGGCTGAGCTTGTGTTTCAAGGCTATCACTCCTGGAGAAGAATCGGAGACGTGGCCAGCTCCCTGTTTGCTCTGGGATACCACGAGAGGGTCGACGGAAACAACATTCCACCCTTCATCGTCGAGTTACGAAAGGCTTGCTTCGCTCGCATATACGCTGCCGACAAAAGTTTGGCGGTCTTCCTTGGGCGCCCACCACGAATAGTGAAGGACTACTGTCGTTTTAAGATCCCAAGCAACCTAGAGGATGTATGGGGGATCGGTCGTGATGCCGCAAACCGCGACTCCACGGTTCTATCGGAGCCATGTAGCGATCGTGGAGGAAACGATCGAACCATCGCTGACGCCCAACCCATCAACTACACCGCCGACACGCGTTGCTCGGCGTTATTTGCATTTCTGAAGGAGGAAGTGCTTCAGCTTCTTCGCAAGCGCCATGTTTTAGATGATACAGGAGACTCAAGGTATGCCCCCATCCACCACCATTATCTAACGACCCCGAACTAGACATTGACTTCATAGCGAACTTCGTTCTCGGGTTGACAAGCAGTGGGATGATCTCCCAGCTCACTTCCGGCTCACGACCAGTCTAAAAGATTGCCAGAGGGAACCGTTTGAACGAGACTTTCTCGCCGGGACCAGGCTCGATTATTTACACATCCATTTTCTTCTAGGCTTAGTTTCCCAACGAAAGATATCCGAGCCGAATGATTACCTTTTGACTGTAGCCACCGAGATGCTCTCCATCACTGTAGAAGTCATAATCTTACGCGACCAGTTGGTCAACTCTGGATCATGTCTTATCTGGAAGGTAAGTGCAATCTCTTCAAACCAATACTACCCTTTCATCTCCGTCGCGTGGCTTAAATTGTTTCATGCTAGGTTGCACAATATGGACTCCCTGCCGCGGGGATTGTGTCACTGGCACTCTTGAACACTGCCACCGCGGACGCGGTATCACGCTCGCGACCAAAGATGATACAAGACTTGAGTGTTCTAGTTGCAGAGGTAACAACTGGGGCTTGGATCCAAGCTGGGGAACCTAACTTTGCTCTCTTTACGCGCGCAACTCGAACAATCCAGAGTCTCCTTGAATCCTTGTTAGCCGCGAGGCCGCCTGAAGTGTCGCAGGACTTGGGCCACAATCTAGTTGAAGGCTGGGATCCTTATGCCAACTCACAACTGTGGGACTTTGAGATGGATTTCTGGGTCAATCTTGCCGAACACCCCACCCTGGTTGAATTGCCTGGTAGATTGTAGGATTCAGGGTTGTTTTGATGGCTTAGCAATGGAATATCCACTTGATCCAAGATGCCTTCACTTTGTCAGATCCGGTTACACATCTGATGTCGGGCATTTCCCAGCTGCCGCTCTTCCTTTCTTGAGAACATTAGAAGTTGAAGCACCATATGTCAGGGTACCGGGACCACAACGGTGAAGAGGCCATATAGATCAAGATGGCGTCAAAGGCCCCTGAAACGGGAGTGTTTTCCCTAAAGTTGTCAGAGCATTACACGTTGCACGTCGTGGATTTCAGCGGTAGCATGTCGATGTCTGAAGCGCTGGTAGCCCCTCGAGCCTTGCGCCTGCCTGCGTCAATGAAAGATTTGCTGAATGAGGTCCAATGGTTAGGACAGCATCCGTTATTCTGGTTAGTTGTGTCTCCGGTCTAACTCGGGTAGGGTTCGAGTGCGCATTCAACCTCCAAGTAGTTCCCCTATCTCGCGAGTCACAAGCCTCATCGAGAGCATCATATATAACCGCTACGTCGGGACTACCCAGGTCCAGTTCATCCGCCACCAGGGCCAAGATGCCAGAACAGAATAAAAGAGACAATGGGATGATCTACCAACCACACAAAGCCTGGGCCTTATGCTCAAAAACATCACGACCGAGTTCAGATCTGTAGTTTGCACACATTGTTTCCTGAAACACACCATGAGTTTACCTCTGTTTCTTTCACAAAGCCGATGGAATTGTCCGACCGGATAACCGTGCTGTATTAATTGGTCGAACCGCCCACTCACGAGTCGAGCTCCCTTAAGATGGAGGCATGGATCTTGTCTGAGCAACATCGCCGGGTGGCCGCAATATGCGTCAACGATACTGCTATATATGAGTACAGATCCGGGGAAAGAATGCGTACTGAAACCATTCGTGGTTGATAGAGTCGAGCACAAATTCGAATTACTGATGGTATGCAAAAGCAAGTACATGGCGGACGCGGATAGAGCGATCACGGCTGTTAGAGAGCTTTAGAGAGCATTTAAATAAAGCGTCCATCTTGGACCAGAACAACGTCAATCTCATTTAAGCTTGATGCAATATGTCCGGATATTCTATCTGCCTCGTCAACTGCTCAGTTTTTGAACTTGGAGACGTGGTGTGTTCTATGACTATGCTAGAAATCCTAATGACAAGCGCGCGAGGCTAAAACTCGCGAAGTAGAGAATGAGTTGGAAACTGAAAATAATATTCATATTTTGGCAAAAGGTCAACTGTGCATTGCATCTTTGAATTTCTCGTTCTCCAAGGATTTGAATTCATTGTTCATGGGCCAACCCTACAGTTTAAATCTCATACAAGTAAACAAAATCAATGCTCGCAACACCTAGTCTAGATAGAATGGTTTCTGTTCTATTGCATTCGCCATTTGCACGTCTTCCTCTGCGTCACGCTTCGCCTCGGTTCCTCTTGACTAAATACTGAACAAATGACACAAGTGACTGCGGAGCATCTGCCATTTCCATCGTCACCTCAATCATATTGAGCCCCTTCCCCTCCTGAAGTTCTGGGCACTGTAGTACCGTTTGAAGCTCACCCCAGTTCTTAGCTAAGAAAGTCCTAACTGGGTACGACGCGTCATCCCTGGGAGCACCGAAATAATTAGGCGCCTCCAAATTCCTCCAGGGCTGGACACTATTATAGCTTTCATCGAAACCGTGGATGATTCGTTCAATAGTATAGCCGTCGTTATTGAGGACGAAGATGGTAACATCGAGCTTATTTCGGATCATATCGCTAATGGATTGCACAGTCATCTGAAGACTTCCGTCTCCTTCGAATAAGATGGTGCGACCTGAGGGCCGTGTGCCCTCCTGCTGAATTTCCCTTTGAGCTAGCGAAGCACCTTGGGCGGCAGCAAGCATATAGCCAATGGAAAGCCATATTGTCGAGTTGATGACAGTCGTGTTATCAGGAAGAAGAAGGCTCTGTCCACCGTAAGACGCCGTGCCAGTCTCTGTCATGATAATATCTCCCTCGCGGATGAAGCTCGAGATGAAAAGCCAGAAGGAGTACTGGTCCACAATAGCATCTTCTTTTGGTGTTGGTAGGTTTTGGAGCATGCTTCTCAGAGAGGGACACTCGATAGGATAAGGCTCTGGTATCGGGAGTGATATAGACTTGAGTCGTCGTAACAACTTTTGGAGGGCGGACTTGATGGAGACAGAACGACCGCGGGAATCTTGACCGTTCCAGTGTATCGAGTGCTTATCGAACGTCACGGCCACTCGAGGATCCGGTAGAGCTGTGAACCCAAAGGTGTTGGTCTCCGAATTGAGGGGCCCAAAGCGAAGCACTAAATCTCGAGACTGGGCCCACGCCTGATGGGCTGGCACCCCTGCGGATCCGAAGTGGACGCCGTGAAAGTTGGGCAAGTGTTCGCTAACAACTCCTTTGCCGCCGGGGCTTGTCAAAACAGGAATGTTCGTTAGCCTAGCCAACTCGTTGATCTCATCCTTTATGCCAAGTCGGGCGGCAAAGGAGTCCACTAGGATCATAGGCTTCCTGCTGCGTTGGATGCGCGTGACAATAGCGTCAATAACTTGGTCCTCGAAAGATTCATCATAGTGTGTCATGGACAGTTCCAGCGGGGAGGTAGGCGCTGGGACCTTTGCTCTGACCATGTCTGTGGGCACTTCGATGTATACCGGCCGGCTTTGGCGAAGACATTCCACCAGGGTTGCATCAATCATCTCGGGAGCTACGGACGCATCCATAAGATTTGCCTGGGCGACAGTGACAGCCTTCTGCATATCTGCAAAGACTCTGAAATTACCATCGCCCAAGGAGTGATGTAAGCAAGCGCCGGCTTGCTGAGCGGCTACCGGAGGCGTCCCGACGATATGGACAACTGGTGCTTTCTCAGCGTATGCGCCGCCGATTGCATTAATAGCCGAGAGTTCTCCTACGCCAAAGGAGGTAACAAGGGCGCCAATGCCTTTAATTCTTGCATAGCCGTCCGCAGCATAGCCGGAATTTAATTCATTGGCGTTACCGACCCAGTTGATGCCTGCTGGCTTGATATAGTCCAGCAGAGTTAGGTTGTAGTCTCCGGGAACGCCATGAACGGAACCAAGGTTGAGTTGCGCAAGTCGTATCCAGAGATACTCGGCGAGGTCAACTGTTGGCGCCATCTTTGAGTGGTACAGCTTGGAAATAAATCGTGAAGGTTTGAGATAAATTCGGGAGCGGTGCGTAAAATCGGTGAGGATGTTCATGATTGAACAGGGGATTGGCCCTTGTAGGTCTTTTATGTCTATGATCATATGCTGGGCAACTCTTCTATAATACTTCTTGAAGTTCTTGGTCCTCGTTAGCATCACCCTTCGAGATATCAGGTATCCACATTACGCCGAGTTGGCCGATCACTCTTCGTAACTTTCGCCTTATAATAGTGTCTCGCCGAGACCCACGTCATGTCTCGCTCGGTGCGCGGCGAATAGCGGCATGAAAGGGTCAATTGCGACGATTCATCTCGTGAAAGCCGAAATTCAAGTTCCACATAGTCCTAGAGGAGTCCAGCGGTATCGGTCATCACTGGGAAACGAGATATGCCGGGCAGAAGGACAAGAGCAGAAATCTTCGTCGTTTTGGCCTCATTGAGACGGGTGGATGGTCCAGCACCTAGAACATTACAATAGTATTGTGTTATGCAGCATTGGGTCTGCGTTGGCTGATGATTTGCTTTATTCTGTGGTTTAAGCTGTCCAGTTTAATCTTATAATACCTCTTGTACTTAAACAGCATGTAGACCACCTTTGTGTGACGTAGTTTAAATTATACCCAAGACAGAATATGTCGGAAAATGAGTGAGTCAAGTCTTGTTGCCCATTAATTTTGAACACGATGGAATATTGTGAACAATTGTTGGTGTCTTCGTCTTCTATGTATATCGACTTGAAAAATAGGCTTACTATAGATCTTGTGGTAGACGCAAGATGCACCAAAAGCAAGACCTGATTGAATATATAGAGATCACCGTCAACTTTACTGGCTATTTAGACAACAGAGCTAGTTGGAACTCGCTCATGTGCTGCCTAAAACTACATAACATTGGTAAAGAAAAAGGTCGGGTTGCCAGGCACGGCGCTCTGGGCAACAGGTAGTATTTCTCCCGCCGTTTCGCCCGTGATGATATCGACGCCCTGTATCCCCCCGTTCTGGACATTGACGACCTGGATCTCGGTCAAATTTGCAGACCGTTTGAGTGTCTCCATCATAGAGACGAGGACCCCCTTCTCTTCAAAAGGCAGCTTGCGATCGAACACGGTCCTCTCTGTCTCGCCCGCCAGCAGACGCTTCTTCAAGGCCTGTACGAAGGGAACGGCGCGTTTCTTGTCGGCCTTGTCGATGCGGCTTATGAGCACCTTGTCATCGACTGACTTGGTAACTGGGTCCCACAGCTCCCGGAGGAGCTCAACCTGGGCGGCCTGCCACGCCGGAAAGTTCTCGCTCATGTAGATAGTGAGCTTCTTGTGCTTCTTGGGATCGAACGAGCCTTCCTTGCCCTTAGCCTTCTTCTTCAGCTGCACGCCCTCGGCCGAGTTGATGCTAGATGCCGTCTGCGAGATGTACCTGCGGGCGGCGCTGAGCGCGGTGTCGACATCGGGGAGCGTGGGGAACCGCGCCAGCTGGATGCTCTCCGGCTTCTCGAGGATCTCTAGCCAGATGCCTTCTGCCCAGTGCGGCGCAATGACGGCGAGGAGCAGGCACTGCAGCTCCACGAAGCGCCGGACCACGTCACGGTGCAGCGTGGAGACGGCGCTCTGCTCCCTGTAGAACGAGAGCGCATTGTTGAAGCTGGAGGTGGGGGTCAGTAATTTCTTCGTCATCAATGGCATGCCTGGGATGGGGGTCAACTAACTCGTAGAAGCCCACCTTAAGAGCCAGTTTGTAGTTAGTTTCGCCTGGGACGCCGAGAGATTAGCAGGGCCGACGGCGGTTGGGACCTCAGATGCACTCACCATAGTGCGTAATCGCCTCCCTGGCGAGGGAATTCATCTCGTTGGCAAACATCTTGTCCATGTAGTTCAGCTCCCCGCTGCGCAGTGTGCTCTTCAGCGTTTCTTGAATCCATTCTGTCTCACGTCAGCAAGACGGCTCAGGGAAGCTCGTGAGCAGAAGACGTACCGCGAAGCGTGTACAGCCGCAGAATGGCCGAGTCAATCGAGTCCTCGACCAGGTTGGAATCGCCAATGCCGTCTAGCAAGTTGTCAGTTGACGGTACGGCCCCGTTGTATAGTAAATTGGGCTGCCTCGTTACGTACCACCGGCGTCTGCTAGGCCGATTCGAGTGGCATCAGCGCCGTACTTGCTAACGAGGTCCTGCAGTGTCATGAAGTTTCCAGTCGACTTGCTCATCTTCTCGCCATTGAGCATGAGATGGCCGTTGCATCGTATGCCCCTTGGCCAGTATTCAGGCTGGTCCTCCCAGATGGCGAGATGAACATAGAGAAAGAAGGTCAAGTGGTTGTTGATGAGGTCCTTCCCGCTGCTCCTAAGGGTGAGGGGGTACTCGTAAGAGAAGCTTCGCCTCATAGTCAGGAGGGAGGCCTCGGGGATGCCCGACTGGAGGACGTCGTCTCCGAGCTCACGACGGCAGAAGATAAAGTCCCATACCTCATCACTCATCTGGCACGCATCAACGTTCAAGCTGCCCTTGAGGTGACCATAGATGTCCGCGTGCAGGAGGTGGCAGATGGTGTAGTAGGCCATGTATATTGTCTAGCGATGACGTTAGAGTAATCCGGGAACATTTATAGGAAACGCAGTTTACCGAATCAGAAAGTGACTCAACCATAAATTCCGGGTCCCAGGGTAGCTTGGACCCCAGCCCGAAGCGACGGGCACATGCCCACTGATTCAGCCAGTTCAGGACGCCATCGAATGCGTTGCGGGTTTCGTCCCCGTGTGTATTGAGGCCGTTGTGCAGATGGTGAAGAACCACCTTTTTCCACGACTCTTCGCCGTAGTCAATGTACCACTGGTCCATGAGGGCTACAATGCACTCGTCGGAAGAGCGGCTGATGACCTTGCGGTCGGGCTCGGCGTAAGCAAAGGCTAGCCCCTCGTCGATGAGATACTGCCGGACTTTGGGCTTGGCCGTTTCGACAGCCTCGCCTGCGTATGGACCAATCTTCATCTTGCCCTTGTAGAAGCTGTTGACAATCGTCAGCTTATCGGCATGCCTTTTCCTATGTATACGTGACTGGGTATGTCACAAAGGTTCACGTCACTTGCCCTTCAGTATACGCCGTCTCTTTTGCCTTTTCCAGCTGAATTGTGTCCTTGGGGCTGTTGATCTTGAGCTCCTCCACAAGAGTCTTGGCAAGCATGTCGCTCCGGGGAGTATCAATGATGCTAATGATCTCGAGCTCTGCCCATTTTTGTTCAATGTCGTAAAAGTCTGCCTTCTTTCGGAGGTCCATCGTGGTGATATAATCGGCGGGCGAGTCGGAAGGAACGCAAGCGACAACGCCTGGAGAAAGACGGCGTTAGCGTGAGATGTACGAAGGGACATGGGAAACAGACATACCTGTGCCCTTGGCCGGGAGAATTGACTCCATGGGAAGGACCCTGACTCCGCCAACGTGTACCGAGAGAGGGGCATGGAGCAAGGTGCCAATTAGGTCGGCCCCAGATACGTCGACAAGGTGATCGATCTCGCCGTCCTTGGAGAAGATGCCCTGGTGCGCCATATTACGAGCAGCACTGGCACATTCAGTCCAATGGTCATCCTTCATCAGGGGGTGGGATAGGTTACTAACCGATGGGTGACGAGGTAGTATTCGCCCTCAGAAGCCTTGAAGATGCCGTATGTGATTTTCGGGGAGACGAACACAGCCGTCTGACCGTACATGGTCTCAGGCCTCAGCGTCGCGGGGATGACGAAGACCTTGGCCCCTGGGGGTAACTCACGCGGTCTCTTGCTCCATTCCAGGACCTTCATCTTCAGGCCAGTGTACTCCTGTGGGCCGACGCCCTCCCCCTCGGATCTGTCGTGGTCCATACAGGGTTGCCCATCTTTAATGGAGTAGATAGTGTATCTCTTCCCGAACTTGATCTTATTCTGCTTCTTCAGCACTCTCATCTGCCATTTTACCTTGTCGGCGTCAGTAGCTGGTTTTTCAGAGGCGTCGACGTCTCGAGGGCTACGAGGTTGGACCAAGGATAAGGATTCGGCCGCAGGATTGGGAGGGAGCAACCTACAAAGGAGTCAAAGTACGGGTTGATGTCGGTGGTGATGAAGGATCGCCGCCAGTCGATACGGCATCCTAGGCTTATTAGGTCCTCCTTAGCCTGAGGAGGGAAGTAAGTCAGCCAGTATTGGGGGTCGGCAAAGCGGTGGATCTCCTCTTTGGGAATGTCCATGGACTCCATGATCTGGAACTGGTACTTTAGATTCGGCGTCTTGGCATTTGCCTTTGACTTGGAGCTCGAGTTCTTGGCGAAGTCCTCGCGCTTCTGATCGACGGCAGGTGCTTGATCGATGACGGGCTGGTCGTCTTGGTACATGGAGAAATCTTTACCGAACCGCTGGATCTCCATTTTCAACTTGTCCGCCACGGCCTTGATGGGCATCCCTGTCGCGTGGAAGCCCATGGGAAAAAGAGCCTGCTTTCCCTGCATCCTGGCCACCTGTATACCATGTTCTGTAAGCCTGATCACCCTCCCGAGGGTACTGAAGGACGTACGCCGGCGCCAAACTCGACTTTGCTGACTGAGAAGACATGGCCAGCGTGCAGCCGGCCATTCTGATACGGGAAGGCCATCGTACCCATCCATATTGGGACCCGTTCCCGCAGCTCGGCCGGCGTGATGGAGTCGGGGGGGTATTCGTCGATGGAGGGAGCGTTGACCTCAAAGATGTTGCTGTCGACCCAGATCTTTTGGTACTTCTTTTCGACGGCGATGATGCTGTCTCGCTTCTCGGTGCCCTTCAGCTCCTTCGTCTTGGGAAACTGGGGGCTCTCTCGTGCGCTGGGAGCGTCGACGTTCGCCATGGTCATCAACGGACGCTTTCTTTGTTGTCGATGGTATTCTTCCTCACTGCTTAGAAGCTGATTTTCTTCTTTTTCTTTTTGTCTTTCGTGTTGGTCGAGGTAGGCGGCAATATTCACAGATGGCCTGAGCCGATCAATGGGACCCTAGAGCGTGTGGGGTGCCCCTTACTTACTTTGCTGGTGCCCATCAACCTTTCTCCGAGCCAAGGGCGCATCCATTCTCGGCGGCAGTAAGTAGATCGGCGTGTTGTGGGGATAGAAAACATGCAAGGGGACGAAGAGTCCGATTTCTCCGACTGGACCCCACTACTGTACTCGTCTGATTCAAAGGGTGGAATTAACAAATGAAATGCTTCACACGCGTTCTATAGGGTGCAGGCGTTAAGGATTTATGGGTAAGAAGACCTGAGTGAAACACGCTGGCCGGCTCACTTAACTGTCAGACGACATATTGACCACGAAGAATTAAAAAGAATGACGCATAGTAGGGCAGAGCTCTACCGTACGAGTGCCGACTCCCATATTCTAAATATCACACCAACAAGCAGAATGTGTGTCAGAGAGGTTTAGTCATGTCCAGTGTAGTTGATATAGAGTCAGGGCAGCATTGTTATGTTTCGTAGGTCCCTCTACTTAGCCGTACAACTAATAAAAATACATAATACTCCACGCCTATGAAATACACTCGCCAAAGCCCTCCCTTAAAATAGTTTCCATCAAATCATCTGTCATTTCTTGAGCCGCTGGGTCGCTGCCGCCCGCATCACCATAGTCCGAGGTAGCAGAGATTCGCGAATCAACGCCTTCCTTTTCAGCATGCAAGTTCACAGACGAAGTTGCAGCGCTGCTCAATTCTTCAGAATGATCCGAGGGTGTTGCTCCATCGTCTTGTGACTGACACCCCTCGGCAGCTTTTGATAGGCCTATATCCCCGCCCAGGCCAAACTGACTCTCCAGAGTGGCGATGAGGCATTCGTCAAGCCCGAGGATATGATGCTGAAGTTGATCGCTCGCTTGAAGAGGCAGGCTGGCAATGTCCAAACCCTCCAAATGGTCGTGACTGACTTCTACTAGATCTTTCAGAGGGTTGGCGTCGAACGAAAATAAGCCTCTGAGCTTGATGGGGAAGTCCCAGTCCTGGGGCAAGCGGCCCTTGCTGAGGCTTAGATCTAAGGACAAGACCAGACGAAGATACGATCTAGGCTGAAAAGCAAACATGTCTGCCCAGTTGACATTCAGACTGCTCCTTCGGACACTGGGCTCGTCCAACTGGGCGAGCTTGATGATGTGGCGGATAATCTCGCTGACCCACTCAACACCGTCATATCGAGGCCAGTACACCCTCATAAACTGGATGAGGGTGTTGAGTTGCTGCTGCGTTGCCCCCGAGGTATGCGCTTGGTCCGGCTCTGCGGTTGGTGGTGGAGAGAGCTTGACGTCTAGGATATTAAGCACAAGAGGCAGAACAATGAAACCAATGGCGGAACTGGGCAACCGTTGAACAAGCCCCAGGCGGAGCAGCTCTTTGTGGCACTCTGCGATGTCCGCGTTCGCATCTTGCAATTCGCGTCGCGTCTCGAAGATAGTCGACAAATCGTTGGGGAGGGAGTGAGAGGGCCCAGTGCTCGCCCGTAAGATATCCAGCTGAAGCACCTCGTGGTGGCAGAGGACGATGCGCGCGGTGTGGTAGTACATGTACATGAGATTCGTATACAAGATGATGGATTCGTGATTGGCGGATGAAGTACGTGAGCTTGTTACATTGGTGGGGTCGCGGACTTTTGGCGACTCAGAGACAACTGAGGTATGCCATCGTCTGAGAGCTGCCTTACACGTCTTCAGTTTGACGTGGCTCTCATCCGTTTCCTCCAGGTCCGGGACCTGCATCCCCTTCGGTGGGACCACAAGCAGTAAGATATTCGTGAGTGTGGCGTGCAGCTCGACCGACTGGGCGAGTATCTTGGCCAGCCTGAGCTTGGTGGTGGGGTTGTACACCTTTGACCGTTGGAGCTCATCTTCCAAGTCTTTAGAAGTAAGGGGGTCGAGGTTGAAATCAAAGTGATGCTTGGTTATGCGGATTGGAAGCCTCATTAAGAGGCTCATGGAGCGGTCTCTAATGATGCAGCACCACCAAAGCCTCTTGAGAACGTTTTTCTCCTTCAAGCGCGCGGGAGAGATCATGGTTGGATAGAGATGTGCCTCAGCAAGCATTGCGTTCTCAATGGCGAGACTCAGCCACAGGGTGTTGGGCTTCCTCGAGGACGAGAGAGATGTGAAGGAGAGAAGGACACATGCCTGAGCAGCCACCAGGGGTGACGATTCGCATTCCATGTCGTACAGGAGCTTTGCCCTTCGCAGAAACGTTGCTCGCATGGATCGGATATCCCGGTAGCCAAGAGCCTGGCTTGCAGACTCGGAGATGAAGGTACATGCAGCAAAGAGCATTGCCTGTAATAACAGCAGAGACATGGGTCTTTCGGGTGGGTAGCGCGGGTCGTGGTAGTATAGTTCCCAGAAATCGCCCTCGTTGATAAGCGGTAGGAAAGGATGGATGTGGAGGAAGTAGTCTTGGACAAGTTCATCGAGGAGAGGCTGCACAGGGACTCTAAAGCAGCCCTGGGTGTCGAGAAACGCGGCATCTTGCTGGGGAATTTGGTGGAGGTTTGTAAGAGTGAGAAAGGGATAGCAGCAGTACGATAGCTCCGGGGACCCGGGGGCGTTGGGCACCATGGGCCAGTGGCTCTGGAGACTTGTTGAAGAATGGCTGGGCTTGGGAAGAAACGCTGGTAGGTCATCGAGGGCAGATGTGTAGCGCGAGACTGCCGGCTCCGAGGTTAGCATATGTAGAGGTTCAGTTGTCAACTAGACGCAACACGCTCACATTGTGGAGGAGTGAAGTGCTCGCTGGCTGAACCCGCTGGATTCTCTGGAGGTTTGGCGGATTCATGGTGCGTAGTACTTTGGTCGGCGTCGCCATGACGACAGTCATCTACCCCGGGCTGAACTGGAGGATCCGCAGGCAGACCACACGGCGAAGTGTCGGTCGGGCCAGCAGGCTCCAAGTTGGCAACCGTTTCAGCGATTCCCGAGCAGTCTCTCGCAGGCGGTAGGGGCCCGTATGGGGGCCAAGACGTCTGGATGCCGTCCTGGACGTCATGTTGGGCTCGGCGGCTATGATAGACAGGTCAACAAATGGGGGAAGGTTACTGGCCGGGGATGGGACTCGACCTACTACTTGGAAGCCCTGCCCGTCACGACGCAAGGCTCGTCGTCGAGATAACAGTTGGTGCAGGGGCGCCCTCGTTGGGAGACGTCGCAACGGACCTTACGGGCGCGGCACGATAGGCATGCCTTGCGGGCCCTCTTGCGACCCCTGGCTAGGAGACTCCCTTGGGTAAGTTGTGGTGACAGTTGAGCGGGTAGAGCACCGTCGTCTGTCTGCGGGTCGAGAGAGTCCATGCCGGCTGGCTGGATGACATTTGTCCAATTGACTGCAGTGGTTCTTCTTCTCTGAGGCTCCTGGGATGTTGGAGAGAAGCTGCTGGATGGGCTACCGATATTGAGGGGAGTGAGTAGGTTCGCGTGCTAAGGCTCCACGACGGAGAGGAGACGGTGGGGGGGATCGGGAGGAAAATCCCGGGGTAGGGGAGATTGATGTGGCACGGATGGGGAAGCAATGTGAGCCCGGTTAAGGTTCCGCCTTTTCACCGCGGCAAAAAAGGATCGGCATCGTGTGGCATACCTACAGTACACTACAGTATCACCACTAGGTTCGTGCGGCTGGATATGAAAAAACGCAGCCCATACTTTGGGGTCGTCTAACTATCCGGTTTTATGTCCAGCTTGTCGCATCAAGGGTTCCAATCCTAACGATATGAGCTTACATAGCTGTGCCCGAGCACATGGCTATTCAGTTTCCTTTGTTCTTCAGAAACTCTCATAACTTGACTAATACCATCAATGATCCCTGTGGAGCCAGTTTGCTTGTCTTGGCCTAGTCCGTCAATCCAAAGGGTGAACATGACAAGCCCCGTGGACTCTGTGTGGTCGGGCAGGGGTAAAAGAGACGAGACACAGAACGAGGGCGTTTACTACTAAGTACAAGTATTTTAAACTCCACATGTTAAGATATCAAGTGCCAGAACATGAGGGGAGGGGAGGGGAGGGGAGGGGAGGGGAGGTGGCTGCAGGCTAGGGCCGTCGACTCGGCTCTCCTCCGCCAAATTCGGCTGTTTCGGGGGGGTATGTTTCAATTTCACGGCCCGGCGGCTTATACTGACCGGCAAACGCCCTGAACTGGACGTTGGCGCACCAAAGCGTGTCTCTCGAAGCACAATATGAAGAACTCGCCTTGGTTCTTGCCGAGGTGTTTTGCAGACGGCTATTCGGGGCATCGGGCCAGATGAGTCCGACAAAGCAGAGGAGAGTCTTCGACCATGGTTGCGAGTATAACTAAGATCCGGCCTACTAACAAAGCCGCACTGATTGAGGTCAATCTTCTACCAATTGGTCAGCCAAAATCAGGCTCCCGTACATCACCCAAGTCACCATCATGGTTTTTTCGCCGCCGTCATGGGTACCGGAACTACCCATGGGTATGTCCATCCCCACGCTCACTCTTAAATGCCAACATAGCACTAAGGCGTCACCTCTTTGGCGGCCAGATCCTCCCGATTCCATCAGCATCGCCGAGTTCATGAGCAACGATGACTACGGGCGGTATCCGCTCGCCAAGGCGAGGACCCCGTTCGTCTGCGGCCTGACGGGGAAATCGTACACGGCGGCCGAGACGGTTGAGCGAGAGGATCACCTTGCGAGGGCCATTGGAAAGAGGTTAGGGTTTACCAACGAGGGATCGGAATGGAATCGAGTCGTGACGCTCTTCTCCTTCAACACTGTCGGTTTCACGAGACACACTCGGCCATCGCTTTAGCTTACCTACTCCTCGCAGATCGACTACGTGCCATTGACGCACGCCATTCACCGTGTCTCTGGGATTGTTGCACCAGCTAATCCCGCCGCCTCCGCGTTCGAGCTGGAGCAACAACTCCGGTCGTCAGGCTCCGTCGCGCTGTTTACGTGCGTCCCACTCCTGCAGAACGCCGTCAGAGCGGCCAGCGCAAAAGGAATACCGAGCGATCGAGTGTTTATCCTCCCCATGCATATTGGTGAACGGGCTGACGGATTTGCAACCATCCATGACCTCCTCGAGGAGGGCAAGACTGTGCCTGCCATCAAAGAGCTGAAGTGGACTAAGGGGCGAGGGGCGAGACAGGTGGCGTACTTGTGTTTCTCCAGTGGAACCTCTGGCTTACCTGTATGATTCGCTTGCGCTTTCGGCCATTGCCTCTCTAATCATCGCATAGAAAGCCGTCATGGTCTCGCATTTCAACATCATCGCAAACATCATGCAGCTCACCGCATTCGAAAGCTTCTATCGCCGACGTCACAGCATTGACTCGCAAGTCCTGCTCGGACTGCTGCCTTTCAGTCATGCTTATGGCCTCGTCATCATGGCACACGTCGCGCCGTACCGTGGTGATCAAGTCATTGTTTTGCCCGGCTTCCGACTCGACACGTTCCTCACGGCAGTTCAACGGTTCAAAATTGAGCAGCTGAATATTGCTCCCCCAATTCTAGTCCAGATGGTATCCAACCATGAGAAATGCAGAGAGTTCGATCTTAGTAGCGTCCGTTTTGTCTACACTGGCGGGGCTCCTCTGGCTAGCGAGACTCTTCAGAGTCTTTCTGCATTATATCCTCACTGGCACCTTGGCCAGGTCTACGGTAGGATGCCTTATATCCAGGACTTTTATATCACTAAACAAGGACTAGGCATGACCGAGACTGCGGTCGTCATTACCTCAACCAGCGAATCGGATATTCTTCACGGGTCCTCGGGCTCTCTTCTCCCTTCGATGAGAGCTAAGATCGTGGACACTAATGGAAACGAAGTAACGACACCCGAGACGCCAGGCGAACTGATCGTTCAGGGACCCTCTGTCACTCTAGGTTATCTGAATAATGAGAAGGCGACAGCGGAAACATTCTTTTGGGACAACGACGGCCGATGGATCAAGACAGGTGACGAGGCCATCGTTCGCAAGTCCCCGCAAGGTCACGACCACTTTGTTATTGTCGATAGAATCAAGGAACTCATCAAAGTCAAGGTATGCACCACCGCACCGACTGTGACTCTCCAGCAAAACTAACACTTGGTGGTAAACAGGGCATGCAGGTTGCTCCAGCAGAGCTTGAGGCCCATATTCTCACGCATCTCTTCGTGTCTGACTGCGCCGTCATCCAGACGTATCATGACCGATCGGGCGAAGTGCCCAAGGCCTTTGTCGTGAGGTCGAAGGAGTCGGCTGGGATTCCAGAACCAGAGATGGCGAGATGCATCTGCGAACATGTCGAGAAGCATAAAGCTAGGTATAAGTGGCTGGCTGGAGGAATTGAGTTTATAGACGCTATTCCAAAGAACTCGACCGGAAAGATTCTTCGTCGACAGCTCAGGGAGAAGGAAAGAAATGCTATAAAGGAGCGAACGGCGCGGCTATAGAGCGCCGCAGCTAGTGACAAATTGGCTCGTATGTTGAGCTAGGTATAGGTCAGATTCTTGATGCAGATTAGAGGCGAGTAAAATAACATGGCTCAACGGTAGACCAGTAGGTGCATGATAAAGAAGACAAATGTGTTCCTTGTTATAGTTGAAGCCGAGATAACCCAGCTAGAAGATCGATAAAAAAGACGATGAGCAACGTTAAGCGATAACCGTCAAAAACGTGCCAAGAGCTTTCTAGGACCTCCATCTCGGGGATTCTTCGACGTATATTCAATCGCTGGCCACCAAAAGCATCCCCAGAGGACATCTGCAACCTTGTCCACCTGGGCTCGGGACCTTTCGTTAATCTCCGCCTGGCAGGTCCGGGAATGCATGTTTTTTTGTCACTGAGAAGAAACGGAGAGCGTTGGAAGGATAGCCATGAGCCATTTATGGGGGAAACATGCGTAAACAGAGCCCTAAGCCCTATCGCCAGCTCCCATTTATATGCGATATACTACCTGGCTAAGACACCAGAAACGACAAGAACAACTAGAATCCAGGTACTAAACTAAACAAGCCTCGGCCTCAAAGGCTGGCCCTGAGCTTGTTCAGGGGAGCAGCAGGCAGCTTCAGGACCCGGATGGCATTCCCTCCCATGAATTCTTTTACAGACGCATCTCTGAATCCGTCCTTAGTGCCAACAAGATAGGTGTTGACGTTATCAACGCACTCCTTCAAGCCCAGCTGAGGAAAGTTGGTGCCAAACATGACCTTTGTCCTCCCGGTCGTGTTGGCAAACGTGATGAACTCCGGCGCATAGTACTTGGGGGACCATGCGCTGGTGTCGATGTAGACATTCTTGTGCTTCCAGGCCACAGCGACGGTTTCGGCTGCCCAAGGATATCCCATGTGGCCCATGATGATCTTGAGGTCTGGGAACTTGAGAGCGATGGTGTCGATGTACGGGATCGGGCGCCCAACCTCGCTCGGGCATGCAGGCGCTGTGTGGCCAACCTGGGTGAGGAAGGGAATGTCAAGTTCGATGCACTTGACGAAAAGTGGCCAGTAGTGACCATCGGTGGGGGGCAGGTTCCAGAGCCAGGGAACGACTCTCAGTCCCACAAAACCCTCGACCTTGACATAGTGCTCGAGGTCCTTGACAGCCTCGACGGGGTTATGAAGGTCGACGGCAGCAAGGCCAAAGATGCGATCTGGGTATGCCCGCGTGTACTTGGCAACCTCCTCGTTGGAGAAGATCATCTGGCCAGGGCGGCTCCAAGCAGACAGGCAGATGTGAGAGACGCCTGCCTCGTCCATCAAAGCGATCACCTCCTCAGGAGACCGTTTCTTGTCGGCGATGGCGGGGTCAGAATGGCTGTAGGAGAACAAACGAGCGACCTCAGGGATGGCGGCGCCCAACTAGAAAACAGTAACGTTAGGAAAACGCCGTTTCGATCAGATTTGTCGGGAGGATTTCCCTTACCCCGGGGAGGTTGCACCAGACATCGACGATGGGGTATTGAAACTTGGGAGGTGCCATTGTGAATGCGTTGATGTTGACCGTCTCGATCTCGGACACTGTGACTTGCTCTGAGGGTGTGGCTAACAGCTATTTTGCACCGTCTCGAACATACGAAAGAGGATAATAAGGAGCCTTATTTTGTACAAAGGGAAGCGACACGAAGCCGGCTTTATCTTTCACCGAGCGGCTCACAAAGGGGCCTATGCTCGGCCAATCGCAGGGCGAAGTGTCACGTACCAAGAGGAGATAACTTCCCGAATGAATGTTGGTCGTTTGGAGCTGCTGGGTTGGGTCGGCAAAATCGGTTGTAATTCAATGACCCCGCCAACAGCCGTGGAACTAGAGATCGGCAACACTCTTGCTTGGCGTGCATGGGGCTTCCCCATCCCCATGGGGCCCCGCGCAGCCCCGCGCAGCCAACATGAACAGCTTTAGCCTCGAGGGCGAGAGTTCAAGCACCGCCGAAACAGCCGAACCGAAGAGGAGAATAGCCTTGGAGACGGGATAAGAGTGTGCTAATAGCCGAGGGTTTGCTGGGAGAGTGACGCTCTCATAGCCATTATCTAGTCTATCCAACTATCTACCCTAAATTACAGTATATAGAGGTTATATAAGCCTCCGTGTCTCGCTCGCAATCTGAATTACGGCAACAAATCAATCTGGGTTCCAATACTGCTTTTTACTTGTAAACGTCAACAATCTATCTCAAGCATGGCCGCGATCAACCCAGCCCACCACTCCCAAGACCCCGAGGTTTCTTCCCCTGAAAAGGGGGTCGTGAAACCTGTCACTGAGCATGAGGAAGACACACTTCGAGAATTCTCCCCAGTCGAGACCAAGAGGCTTCTGAGAAAGATTGACTGGTCCCTCCTACCTCTTCTTTCACTGCTGTACTTGCTCTCGTTCCTCGACCGAGCAAACATCGGCAATGCGAGGCTGGCTGGGCTTGAGGAGGATCTGAACATGACGGGCAAATGGGACTACAGTGTAAGACCATCTACAGAGTATCCAGTGGTGCTTACTCATTCTGATCCACGCATGATCGCAGGTCGCCGTCTCCGTCTTCTTCCCCTTTTACGTCTCGTCCGAGATCCCCTCTAACCTCGCCATGAAGCGTTTTCGCCCGTCTATCTGGATCCCTTCAATAATGCTCGCATGGGGTATTGTCATGACGCTGATGGGTATCGTCCGCAACTATCCCGGTCTCCTTGCCACACGGATGGCGCTTGGGCTAGCCGAGGGCGGCTTGTTCCCTGGCGTTACATACTAGTACGTCGCTTGCTCTCGGATGTGTCCCCCATATCATGCTGCTGCCGCATATGGGCTCTCTTGCTGACTACGGGATAGCATCACGCTTTGGTATAAGCGGCATGAGTGCGGCCTCAGGATCGCAATCTTCTTCTCCGCTGCCACCGCCGCTGGCGCCTTTGGTGGTCTTTTGGCTCGTGGCATCATGGAGATGGATGGAGTCGGCGGTCTCAGCGGATGGTCCTGGATATTCATCCTCGAAGGAATTTTTACCGTCCTAGTCGGTGAGTGCAGCTTATACATTACACAACACTACCTTGGCTAATCATTCAAATTCAGCATTCTTTGCATTCTTTTCATTGCACGACTATCCAGACAGCGCCAAATTTCTTATGCCTGGTGAGACGAGAGAGGTGGTTCGCCGCCTGCGAGATGACTCGTCAGTTTTGTCCAACGAACTTCACTCCAAGTTCGTCAACCACGCCTTCATGGATTGGAAAATCTGGGTGCACATGTTTATCACCATCGGGATATTCTTGCCCATCTACTCGGTCTCCATCTTCCTCCCAACCATCATCCGCAGCATGGGACATACCGCGGAGCTGGCTCAGCTTATGTCCGTGCCACCATATGTCACCGCTTGTCTTTTGACTGTCATAGGCGGATTTATGGCTGATAAGCACCGGCAGCGTGGTGTTTATGTTATATCCCTCTGCATAGTGGGGTGAGTTCTTATCCAGACCATGAGCTTCTCTTCAACTAGTTTGGCAGCCTTGAGCTAACCAACTTATAGCATCATTGGACTTGTGATTCTTGTCACAGTGGAGAACAGCGGTGCAAAGTACTTTGCTTGCTTCCTTGTGCTGTCCGGCATCTTCGCCTACGTGCCGCAGGGCACTTCTTGGAACGGGAACAACATTGGCGGATCCGTAAAGAGAGGAGTTGGGCTAGCCATGCAGATTGGATTTGTAAGTCATCCTCCCATTAGAACTGTTTGTTACGGATGCTGACTCTGTCAAGGGAAACATTGGTGGCGCCGTTGCAGGCTTCATCTACAGACAGGAAGATGCTCCGCATTACCGTGCCGGCCACGGTACCTTGATCGGGACCCTCTGCATGAGCTGTGGCCTAGCCATATTCATGACGTGGTATCTGCGGAGGGAGAATGAGAGGCGTGACAGGGTGTACAAGCCACCTAGCGAGTATACTCTCGCAGAGATGGAACAAGAATCTGAGAAGGGCGACGATGCAACCTTTTTCCGGTACACTGTTTAAGGCTTCGGTACCTCTCTCACTGTAGTTATTGAGTTACAGCAACTCTTTACCTAGTTTCTTGGTTTAGTTAATTTTATATATAAATTTGTATTTTGTAAAGTAATTTTAAAAAAGTAAAGTACATTTATTATCTATTTAAACGCTTCTATTAATATAACTATTTATCGATTCACAACGTTAATAGATACAGTATATACTCCGTCCCTTACCCCTTGAGGAGTTCCTAGATAGACATAAAGGCGGCCGGGTTGATAACTGGAAGGCACGCTGGTTTCATGGGGCAAACCACTGGGGTGCATAAGTGCGCCACCCCGGAGTTGGTGTAGGTAGAATTCTTCTCCGTACGAGCTGTAGTAGCCGGAGATGGAGTCCACTATCCTCTTTGAGCTTGCCTGGTCCAGGGAATCGTAAATGCCCACCCAGGGCTTCACAGAACCCGCTGATGCGTCGCCAGGTTGTGCCATCAGGCTGCACACGATGAAGAGACGTGCGGTGACGAAGCTATCTGAAGTGTCGGAAATCTGAAAGTCGACAAAGCCAGTGAATCGTTCACTATTGTCCGTGATGAATGACTGCCGGTGCGAGTCCCACAAGTCGGCTGGCTTAGCTGTGAAAGAATGGAGCTGGAACCCCGGGCTAAAGTTGAACTGAAATGCGAGATTCGTTGCCGAGAGATTCTTCAGGTTCCAGGAAGCGAAGGGGGTGACCCGTTTGCGGATGAAGACCTGATGGCGAGCGCCAGCCCAGATCCAGGAGTTCTGTGTCTCGAAGAGCTCGGCAGGACGAGTTCGAACGTAGCCATCCGCAGTCTTGGATAGGAAAACGCCGACCCTTTGCTCGCCGCCGCTATCATCGGGTATGATGCAATCCAGATTCAGAACATAGTCTATATCATCACTTTTACCCAGAAATGTCTCCAGTCTCAGACCTCTGTTAGTCATGGTGAAGACATGGCCTTGCCTGATATTAGGTGCCCGACGAAGCTTTCGACAGTGTGCAAACTCGGCGGGAGACTGGGCCAGGATCCCTCGGAAGTCTTGAGGTGACGTGCCTGTCTCCTCTTGAGCCTTCCATGCGAACACGGAGAGGTCAGTCGTTTCTTTCGCTATTTCCTCCTGCAACCTGGAGAAGGCCTTGGTGCCCTCGCCGTACATCATTGGCATGTTAACGTCAAAGATACCAAGAAGACAGTAGGCGAGATCTTCGACTCTCGTGGTACTTCGGCTTGCCGCCCAGGACATCCGTTTCGCAATTGGTATGCTCTCGAGGAAAGCATTATTCTCCAACACTTCAACTTCGATTCCGGTGATATCGCTAATTTGGTGTCGCAGCGTTGTTTTTGTTCCCCTATGGCGCCATTCGGAATCATGAAACTCGAGGTTTTGCGGGGCAATCAGCTCTTGCAGTGTCCATCCTCTTGTGAACCACCGACAGGATGATAGGCCGCTGAGCGAATCGTCCCCTGTACCGGAGTGAGGTACCAAATCCTGGAGGTGAGCAAGGCAAACCGCTGAGCACTGGTACCATCGGAACATAGAGTTTATCGCCTCAGCTAGCTCGGCGCTGCTACGCTTGTCCACGCAGCACGTGTCGACCCATGCATATGCAAGCCCTCGCTGCTTTGCTAGTTGACAAGTCTTCATGATTTTGGTATAGCCTCGCCTCTTCTTTGCTATGTCTGGTTGCATCATGTCGTCGAAGGTGACTTCTCCATCGTCCCATGTATGTGAGAGGATTGCATAAGGAGTGGACTCCAACTCCTCAGCGTCGGCTCTTTCCAGTTCGATGGTGGTCGTATTGATGAGCCACATGGTTACGATACTATAGGGCTGGCAGGAGGTCGCTGGTTGTACACAGAGATGAAGAAGATCTCCAAGGTCATCGCCGAAGCAGATAGTTAGGCTTCAGCGGTTTTGCGTTGAAAGCGGGGTTATAAGATTCGTTCCTCTTGTCGGATCGGAATAATAATCGGCATAACGCTCAAACTGGCAAGGATCATGTCAAGAGAGGATGCTGACATTCCTTTTTGAGTGGTGACTGGACTGTAGAATCCTTGAAAGATTATGCTCTTTTATATTTAAGTTCACGCAGTTTCCTTGCCGATATCAACTACCTAGATAGTTAATAAGCTAGTTAGAGGAAACCTAAATACAGGTGCTAACCCCGACCTGAAATGCGTCACTGTTTTGGCGATCCTCTGGCTCAGTTTCTAAGATAATACTATCCCATAGAAACCCTCTCCACTTAGTATACCGTGTGATAACGTTGCCGGGGGACCTGCAGGAACCGCAACATTGGCCGTTTAACCTTTAACCACCATTGCCAAGAACCAACGATCACATGAAGGAAAAGGGCGGGGGTAAGTGGATGATGAACTGCTGGATGTCTGGACATAGACGGCCATTGCCATACGCAAGACATCAGCCTAGTGCGTCAGGGTCCCAATCACCTAAGGCGGATTGCAGAAGTGTCGGGAGCACCGTGAACAGCCAGGCTCTTCCTCCTTGATCTCAGAAGGTAAAAGCGTTCAAACCCTGGTGATATTGCAAGACACCGAAGCCTTGAGGGACAATATGTTCCGCCAAGGGGGTGTTCGCAGGACCCAGGTTTGGCAAGCTGTTCGCCGAACCAGGCGGAAGTTGTGGGGTCATGTCGTATGAGACCTGTGCAGTCATTTGACGGTCAAGATGATAGAATTTGGGCTCCTCTCGTGTGGGCATGGTGTGATGCTGTTAGCCATGGACTGCTGCGAAGGCGGGCAGGGTTTGTGGATGGTGACCAAAGACCATCTGCTGGCCCGGTGGGGGCATCACAATCCCAGACACGCCTTGAGAAGCCTGGACGGATGCGTTTGGCTGCAAAGGAGGGCTGGCGGCCGGCGCGGAGGCCGTGGCTGGGAGACCTTGTACACCCTCAGCTGGGACGGCTTCACCACCCACGGCTCGCGGCGTGGGAGTCGGAATGCATAACACAATATCGATGAGCGCCGCTGCGTGAGATTCCAGATTGCGCACCGGAACTCCAGCTTCCTTAAGGTACTTCAAGACAGGCTGCATTGCCTCGCGGCGCTGAATATCGACAAGCTTCTCAAAGTGAGGGTTTCGGGGGATTTCCAGTTCAGGCCACATTATGCTCCAAGCTTTCTTCCACCTGATCTCGTCAGGGCTTCCGGAAATACCCTTACTCTCATCAGGACTTCAGGCTTTCCTTAGAATTTCCAAGGACATGAACCCGAAGCAGATGTTGTAAGACGGCACTCCACCTCAATAGAGTAAACCCTGTGCATTGCTCAGGACATATCTTATAAAAGAAACAAGCGTATTTCTCGGTGAGGGTTGCCTTCTCGTTCGGATTCAGGGTGCCATTGCCGCCGCTACTGCTAGCTGCATCTTTACCCGGAGGCGTACTGTTGTGCTGGTCTTCCGATCGAGGCTTTTTGCTTTCAAGTTGGTGCTCCTCGCCCCCAGAGTTCTGACGTTTCTGACCAAAGGCAGGTAGAGAGGCCTCGCCAACAGACTGAGAGATGTGGACAGAAGGCATCGCCAACGGTTCACAGACAGAGCCGGTCGTCGCATGCTCCACGTAGAGCGCGAGAGGTTCGACGACGGCCGATGTATCGAGTAGTTGCAATGTCGACGGCAAAGCCGTCCCTGCCATGGATTAGCTCATCGCCCACAGTTCATTCCGATACTCACCATATCTGTTACCCCCAACGTGTCCATGGATGTGATCCAAGGTCGTTGGTGGTGTCACATCATCCCCAGCGTTGCCATCAGAAGTGCCAGTGTGATTTTCTGGCGCATCATGTCGCAGTATGATCTGTTGGGAGCCGGTTGAAGTAACTCGCAGGAAGTCTTCTCTAGTGTTGCCATCTACCGATATCCAGCTAGATCGGGCTGAGCCCTGGCCTTGAATATGAGGCTGAGTTTGATCGGCTGGGACCGACATGACAAATGTGTAGTAAAAGGCACTATGAAGTGATAAGGGTATTAATTCTTTTTATTTTACTTTAAATAAATCTAGAAAGATAAATAAAGAAAATATAAGAAAAAGGACTTTATTTTAAAAATCCTTATAGCTTAAAGTAATATATAATATATATATATAGCAAGTATTATAATTATATAAGTATTATAAAAATCCTAATCTCTAAGCTAAAAATTATAATAAAAATACTATAAATTATTTAATTAATTAAAATTACTTATTATACTCTTCCCTAGATATCTTAATTATTATTTAATAAGTCCTTATATTATAGCTAGGCTAGCTATAAATATTATAATATTAAACCCTTAGTTATATTAATCTTCCTTAATTATTACTCCGCGATAATTTTATTATTACTTATAATATATAATATATATAATAAGCGAGTATTATAGATAAGCAAGTATTATAAAAATCTTAACCCTCCTTAGGAATACTATAATAAAAATACCATAAATTATCTAATTAATTAAAACTACTCGCTATACTCTTCCCTAGATATCTTAATTACTACCTAATAGGTCCTTATATTATAGCTAGGCTAGCCGTAGATACTATAACGCTAAATACCCGATCGCGCTAACCTTTCTTAATTACTACTCCGCGATAATTTCGCTATTACCTATGCATTAATATCTATTTAATTAATTATTTGCCTTTTTTTTTCTACTATTATGACCCCTCTTTTCTATAGCCGGGTTCTTTTTGCCCTCTAGCGCCGACTAAGTATCTTATTTGCCTCCTAAAGGTCTTTATTCTTAGTAGCTAATAAGATAACCTAATATATAATTACCTTTATCCCCTTCTTAAGAGATCTTAGGGCTTTAAGGATTAACTCTAAGGAATTACTTTAATACTTTCTAATTTATCTTTTAAGGTATTTAGACTAAGATTAGGCCTTAAGTATAGTCTTTAGGATCTTTAATGCCTAAGAGGTTAATTAATTAGATACCTCCTTAACCGGCATTAATATCTATAGCTATATATTAAGCTTTAAGATTATACTTTCTAGATTAAGAGGAATAAGCCTAGCCCTTTTAAATAATACCTTAATATTTTTTTTTATTATAATAGCCTTATATATTATATAGAAGGCTAGAAAGAACTTAGTCTTTAAAATATAAATTATAAAATATCTAATTAGATATTTTATTTCTTAATTATAAGCCTTCTTTAGTATAATAAAGTACTTAATATTAAGGGGCTAGAGTAAATAAGAGGAATAAGGTAATATATAAAGCTAGATAATCTTATTTTCCTTATAATATCTCTTAAATTTAATAGAGTAATAACTTTTATAGCTATTAAGGATTAAGAGATAATAGGAATTAATTAATCGATTAGTTATATACCGGTTAAAGTGCTTAAGCTATTTAAGATTAATCTTATTATTAGTCTAGTTATTTTAGGTTATTGCAATAGCCTAATCGCCTAGGAGGTTATTTTCTTAGTATTAGTTAGCGAGGTAATATTAGCCTAAACTAATAATAAATAGCGGGATTAATTAGCCTTCTATATTAATTACTTAGATTATTATAATCTATTCCTAATTTCTAGGCTATATTAATTTTAGCTTTAAATACCTTTCTAAGCCTATAATAATTATTTTACTTATAATTATACCTATAAGAAAGCTAATTTTATTAAAGTTATAAATATTATTTAATTAGATATTATACTTCGCGATTATATTCGCTATAAGCTAAAATTAATTATAGATAATAATTAAATCTTCGCACTTAGCTCTCTAGTAGTTATATTTCCGAAAAAAATATATCTTAAGCTCTAAGTATTACTTAATAAAGTTATAAGCCTAGTATATACTAACTAGTAATATATCGCGGTCGATAAGTAATTAATTAGCTATATCTTTAATACTATATAGCTATAGGGGAAATCCTCGCGAATCTAGGTCAAGGATAAAATAAATAAGGATATCTTCTTCTAGATTAGATAGCTTATATAAATTAGGGATAATATCGCATTAAGACTAGATGCCTTATTGCCGGCGATATAAGGTATAATAATAAACTATATATATCGCTATAATATATTAGATACTTAGTTTTAGGTTATTTTAGAGGGCTTAAAGTATTAGAAGAATTCTAGCTTTAGTATTAGAGCCTAATATACTAAGTAATTAAGAATTAATTAATTAAATAAAGAAGATATAAGGTAAGGGATTTTTATAATACTCGCTTATCTATAATACTCGCTTATTATATATATTATATATAGTAAGTATTATAGTTATATAAGTATTATAAAAATCCTAACCTCTAAGCTAGAGATTATAATAAAAATACTATAAATTATTTAATTAATTAAAACTATTTATTATATTCTTCCCTAGATATCTTAATTATTACCTAATAAGTCCTTATATTATAGCTAGGCTAGCTATAAATATTATAATATTAAACCCCCGGTCGCGCTAACCTTCCTTAATTACTACTCTATAATAATTCTACTATTACCTATATATCTATATCTATTTAATTAATTACCTTCCTTCCTTACTCTACTATTATAACCCCTCTTTTCTATAGTCTAGTCCTTTTTGCCCTCTAGTGCTAGCTTAATATCTTATTTGCCTCTCGAAGATCTTTAACCTTATTAATTAATAAGGCAATTTTATATATAATTACCTTTATCCCCTTCTTAAGAGACCTTAGGGCTTTAAGGATTAACTCTAGGGAGCTATTTTAATGCCTTTTAATTCATCTTTCGAGGTATTTAGATTAAGATTAGGCCTTAAGTATAGTCTTTAAGGTCCTTAAGGCCTAAGAGGTTACTTAATTAAATACCTCCTTAACTAGTATTAATATTTATAGCTAAATATTAAGCTTTAAGATTATATTTTCTAGGTTAAGGGGAATAAAGCTAGCTCTTTTAAAAGCCCCCTTAATATTTCTTTTTATTATAATAGCCTTATATATTATATAGAAGGCTAAAAAGAACTTAGTCTTTAAAATATAAGTTATAAAGTATCTAATTAGATATTTTATTTCTTAATTATAAGCCTTCTTTAGTATATTAAAATACCTAATATTAAGGGGCTAAAGTAAATAAGATAAATAAGGCGATATATAAAGCTAAATAATCTTCTTTTCCTTATAATATCTCTTAAATTTAATAAACTAATAATTTTTATAGCTATTAAGGATTAAAAGGTAATAATAATTATTTAATCGCTTAGCTATATATTAATTAAAATATTTAAGCTACTTAAGATTAATCTTATTATTAGTTTAGCTATTTTAGGTTATTATAATAGCTTAATCGCCTAGGAGGTTATTATCTTAGTATTAATTAGCGAGGTAATATTAGCCCGCGCTAATAATAAATAGCTAGATCGCCTAGCCTTTTATATTAATTACCTAAATAATTATAATTTATTCTTAGTTTTTAGGCTATATTAATTTTAGCTTTAAATACCTTTTTAAACCTATAATAATTATTTTACTTATAATTATGCCTATAAGAAAGCTAGTCTTATTAAAGTTATATAGATTATTTAATTAGATATTATACTTCGCGATTATATTTACTATAAGCCGAAATTAATTATAAATAATAATAAGATCTTTATATTTAGCTCTCTAGTAATTATATTTCTAAAAAAAATATATCTTAAGGTCTAAGTATTACTTAATAAAGTTATAAGCCTAATATATACCGACTAATAGCGCATCGCGATCGATAAGTAATTAATTAGCTATTTCTTTTATATTATAAAGCTAGGGAGGAAATCCTCGCGAATCTAGGTCGAGAATAAAGTACTTAAGGATCTATTCCTCTAGATTAGATAGCTAATATGATTTCTAGATAATATTACGTCGAGATTAAATACTATATTATCGATAATATAAGGTATAATAATAAACCTTATAGATAATTATAGCTTATTAGATACTTAACTTAGGGTTATTTTATATAGCCTAAAGGGCAAGGAGTATCTTAGACTTAATAAAAGCCTATAATATATTAGGTAATTAAGAAATAATTAATTAAATAAAGAAGATATAAGTTAAGGGATTTTTATAATACTTGCATAACTATAATACTTACTATATATATATATTATATCTATATTTATATAATTAATTACTTTCCTTTCTTACTTTATTATTATAACCTCTCTTTTTATAATTTAGTCTTTTTTACCCTTTAATATTAACTTAATATCTTATTTATTTCTTAAACATTTTTTATCTTATTAATTAATAAAATAACCTAATATATAATTACTTTTATCTCTTTCTTAAAAGACCTTAGAGCTTTAAGAATTAATTCTAGGGAGTTACTTTAATACCTTTTAATTTATTTTTTAAGG